CATCTCTAAATGAATAATACATTCTAGTTGGAACACCTCCCATATGTTTTACAAAAATAAATGCTAAGATTAACAACAATGATATACTAACCCCTTGGTGCTGTTTGTGAATACCTTGGACTTGACAAGTATTCATTTTTGGTTATGTTTGCTAATAACCCAGACTTTAACCATACTTGTGTAGATCCTGGTTTTAATGAATAGAAAGAAGCCTTTTATCACAAAAATATCAAATAATTTCAACAATTAAGATATGAATATAACATTTCAAAAGCCCATTTCTTTTGATTTCTGCAATTACAAAGCTATCTTCATTCCGTTTCATTCCATAAAGGTGATAAAAAAACAAATGTCTCAGACAATATATTAGTAAATGCAAAGGCATGAAAAGGTATAACTATGACATATTTGTGACCATCTTCTGCTGCAAATAACAAAAGCCCAAACATTAAACAAAGTTGGGAAATGGACTTGGGCACTAAACTAGAAGACCAGCTATAGAGAAAAGTGTTAGACCACGCAAGACAAATAACCAAATCACATGAAAATTATGAATAAACTGTATCACTCCTGTAACAGGGAGTAAATATGATCCATCCATCCATTTTCTACCCTTTAATCCATTTCTGGGTCAGGGGGGTGGCAGTCAGAGATGCCACCCAAGTCTCATAGCACCAGCCCCTCACTGACCCTCTGCAGGTGGTGAGTCCACAGGAGGACGGCTGCTGTCTGAGTGTGAGCATAGCCTTGATCTTTCAGTGGGGGCTTTGGGCAAAGTGGAGTTAAGTGTCTTGCCCAAGGACACAACGACAGCAGTCATCAGTGGGAGTCGGTGGAGAAGGTGCAGAGGTGGGAATTGAACTCACGACCTTCTGGCCTTAAGGCCAATGCTCTACCAACTGAGCTACTGTCGCCCTAAATATGATCCAATGTGTTCCAAATTATGTTTCAAATTTAAAAAAAAAAAGGAACTTATTTCAATTTAATGTGGACCTGTCCTCTAATTGCTTCATTCTAGTCTTCAGTTGGTAAGGAGATTGAAAAAAATTTGGAACTTAAGTACCAAGGGACCCCAAATAATTGTAGTCGAGGAGCCAAAGCAAGTCCATAATGCTCTACGCAGCTCGCCTTTCTATACTCCATGTCTATCAAGGACCACCCGCCAACATGAACGCTCTGGTGTACAAATACTGCCACATGAAAGACTGCATAATGTTCTGGAAGGATCACTAGACACTTTCGTTGAGGATTGGACTCGCCTTAAGGACTATCGATGTGAATGGCAGACCCTAATACACACAATGAGATATGAGATGATAAGTAACTGTAAGTCAAGGACTTCCACTCTCCGCTGACCCGGTCGATCGCAGGCGCCACGATCCCTGACCTAGGCAGGCAGAGATCAGTGCAGACCCAAACCCCCTCACCTAGACAACACAGCACAAACAAAAATACAATACAGATACAATACCATCCTGGGTAAATCCACAAATCCCATTTGACAAAAGTTTGCTGTATAGTACATGAAAGACACCTGTCCACAACATCAAACAGTCACACTCCAAACTCCACCATGGTCAAGACCAAAGAGCTGTCAAAGGACACCAGAAACAAAATTGTAGACCCGCACCAGGCTGGGAAGACTGAGGCCACACGTAGCCGGGTATCTGCTAAACCCCAGATATTTTTCTTTGTTTGCACCTGTCATCCACATGACAACGCATCAGAAACAAATATATAAAAAAAACTTTGGGCAAAATGGAGATTTTTGAAAACTCAGTTTATGCATTTGCGTGTAGACGGAGATAAGCAGAGTTTTACGTTTTCGCACGTCACAATATGCCACCAAAACAACAACAAACAAAACATGCAACCTCTGATCACTGAGGAAGCATGGATCCTACTGCCTTAAAAACTGTCCGCTGCTGCGAGCGGTTTGCAGCAGCGAACATTCTCGCTCCACATCAGAGAGCAGCAAAGTGATCACAGAGACTCACGCTCGAGAACAACCAAAACAGGAGCTAAACCAGGATTAAACCAGGGCTGAGGATGGGGGTCAGTGCTTGTAAACATATGTCTTTACCCTGAGCTCCTACTGTGCTACAGAAGCACCGCCATCAGCATCAAAGCTCCGCCCACTTCTGTGTTTTTCCCCAACGCAGGACGTCAGAGGACGCACATGTTTGGAATGTTATGAATGTGAATGAAAACGCAGATATTCGGTTATGTGTGGATGCAAAATATTTTATAAACGGAGGGGGGGGAATATTCCGTTTTAAAAATACCACTGATAATCTCCCTCAATCTGGGGCTCTACGCAAGATCTCACCCCGTGGGCTCAAAATGATCACAAGAACGGTGAGCAAAAATCCCAGAACCACACGGCGGGACCTGGTGAATGACCTGCAGAGCGCTGGGACCAAAGTAACAAAGACTACCATCAGCAACACACTACGCCACCAGGGACTTGTGCCAAAAATCTCCCCTGTTTAAGCTGGTACATGTCCAGGCCTGTCTGGAGTTTGCTAGAGCGCATATGGATGATCCAGGAAAGGATTGGGAGAATGTTGTATGGTCCGATGAAATCAAAATAGAACATTTTGGTAAAATTCAACTCGTCGTGTTTGGAGGAGAAAGAATGCTGAGTTGAGTCCAAAGAACACCATACCTTCTGTGAAGCATGGGGGTGGAAGCCTCACGCTTTGGGGCTGTTTTGCTGCAAAGGGACCATGTATCGTGAGATTTGGAATGAAAACCTTCCATCAGCAAGGGCATTGAAGATTACTGTAAATATGGCTGGGTCTTTCAGCATGACAATGATCCCAAACACACCCCCTGGGCAACAAAGGAGTGGCTTTGTAAGAAGCATTGCAAGGTCCTGGAGTCGCCTAGCCAGTTTCCAGATCTCAACCCCATAGAAAATCTTTGGAGAGAGTTGAAAGTCTGTGTTGCCCAGCAACAGTCCCAAAACATCACTGCTCTAGAGGGAATCTGCATGGAGGAATGGGTCAAAATACCAACAACAGTGTGTGAAAATCCTCCATCCTTCCCTCACTCGTGAGGGAAGGATGGAGCGTGAGATTGACAGGCGGATCGGTGCAGCGTGCGCAGTGATGCGGTCGCTGTATCGGACCGTCGTGGTAAAGAGGGAGCTGAGCCGAAAGGCGAAGCTCTCGATTTACCGGTCAATCTTCGTTCCCTCCCTCACCTATGGTCATGAGCTTTGGGTAGTGACCGAAAGAACGAGATCGCGGATACAAGCGGTCGAAATGAGCTTCCTCCGCAGAGTGGCTGGGCGCTCCCTTAGAGATAGGGTGAGGAGCTCAGTCACACGGGAGGAGCTCGGAGTAGAGCCGCTGCTTCTCCACGTCGAGAGGAACCAGTTGAGGTGGCTCGGGCATCTGTTCCGGATGCCTCCTGGACGCCTTCCTGGGGAGGTGTTCCGGGCACGTCCCACCGGGAGGAGGCCCCGGGGAAGACCCAGGACACGCTGGAGAGACTATGTCTCTCAGCTGGCCTGGGAACGCCTTGGGGTCCCCCCGGACGAGCTGGAGGAAGTGTGTGTGGATAGGGAAGTCTGGGCGTCTCTGCTTAGACTGCTGCTCCCACGACCCGGCAACGGATAAAGCGGAAGAAATGGATGGACAGTGTGTGAAAATCTTGTGAAAACTTACAGAAAACGTTTTAGCTCTGTCATTGACAACAAAGGATATATAACAAAGTATTGAGATGAACTTTTGTTTTTGACCAAATACTTATTATCCACCATCATTTGCAAATAAATTCTTTGCGTGTGATTTTCTGGATTTTTTTCCCATTCTGTCTCATAGTTGAGGTATACTTGTGATGAAAATTACAGGCCTCCCTCATCTTTATAATTGGGAGAACTTGCACAATTGGTGGCTGACTAAATACTTTTTTCCCCACTGTAAATGTGTGAGAGATGTAAAATCTTAAACAAACTAGATGACAGTCTTTTTCCATTTGAGACAGCATTTTTCTGGGGTTCATACCACTATATACCCTATAATTACTATTTCAGCTATATTTAATAAGGTAGTACTCTTCACATATGCTACATGTCAAACCAAATTGTGCGCAGTAATAAGTGGACAATAGCTTGTGCTTTTCACGAGGGAAATCCACTAGTTCTCTATCGAAGGCTGTCACCGTATTGACTAGATTTCTTGCAGGCACTAAATGGAGTAGAGATCTATGCAACTTCTGTTTTCCTCTCTAGAGGAAACAGTTGGACTGGCCTCATCAATGTGAATAAAAACAACAATAAAAACAAACAATTGGGTGCATCTGTAGATAAATAAATCCAAAGATTTGATGGACAAATTTGAAGTTTTGAGCTACTCTGTTCAACACTGAGGGCTACTGTGGTTTAATTTGTGGAATCATTATTCTTGGAAGTTTTGTTCAAATACACTCATGTTTAATTATTGTATGTGTGTGGTCCTGGTCAGATCAATTAATAGAATATCTGAACGTTTGAGGGGCTGGAGGTCTTGACAATATTGGTTTTATGTGAGATAAACCCACACATGAGCCGATAGAATAATGAATTCTCTTGTAATACACCTTTGATAATAGCCACAACTAATCAAAACTCGTTAACTAGTTTGTTGCCTTTTTTCTCTAACAGTTCAAGTTTTCACAACTTTTCACTTGCACGTATTGTTGGCCTGTGTCACATCTTTAAATCAACCTTTTCAAGTCAGTTAAGTAAAAAAGAGAGGAGCACCCCAGCCCAAAGCATCAAATAATCTTACGTAAAAATAACAGCATTTCACTTTTACAGTGATCTTTCTAGCATGTATCACAGTTATATACCCCAGCTTTACTAGATCTGTGTTTAGTATTTGGAAGAGCTCCAGCGACTAAAATACTTAAATCAACAGCGCCCTCTCGAGGCCACATCGGGTACTGCGCGTCGTTGTCTAAACCCGGAAGAGGTTCACACGCTCTCCTCCACGTGTGTTTGCAGAGACAACATGGCAGCGAACAGCGTTGAGGAGCTGTTGGCTAAAGCTGAGCAAGACGAAGCGGAAAAACTCAAAAGCATCACCGTTCAGAAGGATTTGGATCTGGAATATGATCTAGGGAACCTGCTGGCAATTGACTCGAACCGCGTCGAACTCCGTCAGCAAAACAGAGATGAGTTTTTGAAAGCCTTGGCACGGGATAACACGCAGCTGCTAATAAATGAGATATGGAAACTTCCCACAGAAAGGGTGGAAGAGGCGATTGTAGCTAAACTTCCAGATCCGGCGACTTCTTTACCGCGAGAAAAGCCTCCACCGAAGGCAAAACCACCGACCAAATGGGAGCAGTTCGCCCAGCTGAAGGGAATACAGAAGAAAAAGAAGACTAATCTTGTTTGGGACGAGAAGTCTAAGGAATGGAAGAGGCGATGGGGCTATAAACGAGCCAACGATGACACTAAAGACTGGATGATCGAGGTGCCAGACCGGGCTGACCCCAACGAGGACCAGTTTGCGAAACGTGTTAAGGCCAAAAAGGAGCGTGTGGCCAAAAACGAATTGAACAGGCTGAGAAACATCGCCAGATCCCAAAATATCCAGATCCCCACGTCTGGACTGATCCCCAAAGCCCGTCAGTCCAAAGACGAACTGTCCCTCGCTGCAAGTGTGGCCAAAACATCCACAGCCTCCGCGGGCAGGTTCCAGGACCGGCTGCCCAAGGAGAAGCCCTCCAAGAGGAAAGGGCAGAAGAGGAAGTTTGAGCCTGTTATTGGGGACTTTTCACACGAGAGACAGAAACAGCTGGATCTCCTTCAAGTTATGGGCAACAAGAAGCCCAAGATGGATGTGGGTAGAGCTGTGAGTAAGCAGATTAAAGAGGAGGACAGAGAAGCTGCTGCTGAAAAGTATAAAAGAGGGCCTGGGAAGAAGGGCCGTAGAGGAAACATGCCTGGAAAGGGCAGAGGACCAGGGGGCAAGGGGGGCAAAGGGGGCAAAAGTGGTGGCAAGGGGAAAATGGGTAAAGGTGGAGGAGGAGGTGGTGGCGGCAAGAGGAAAGGAAAACCTGGAAAGAAGTAATGCCGGACTATGGTGTCTTCAGCTGAGTGTGTGCCTTGTTATCACACTGGACTGCTGTGTACAAATTTACCCATTCAGATGTGACTCCTGTCTTTATAAGTGAAATCTATTCATGTTAACTGCAGGTGGTAATAAATACTTGTTTAATTCTCTCAAATCATCTGTTATTATTCGCTCATGCAACCACAAACCCATCAATAATGCAGTAGCTTTTGGCAGTGACTGACATCGCTGTTATGTTGTCTTTAGATCTGGTGGTATATAGTTAGTTGGAGAACCACTGCTCAAGTATCACTTTGAATATTTACTCCTGGTATCAACTAAAACGTATTTAATCTGAGGGTAAAATCGATGGTATGTTGACCATTTCAGTAGATAAGTGGATTATAAACCCCCCCCCCCCCCCCCCCCCCCACACACACACACACACACACAAAACATCCAATTTAATACTTTCTTTGATTTTTTTTTCCCCCCGAATTTATTGCCATTATCTCAATGTATTTTTATCTTTATGGTGTCAGAAACGATCTCAATATCAGAATGTGGGTTGAGTAAGTAGTGGAATTTAAAATGACCAATATTAGTGGCTGCCCTAAACCTAAAGGGACTATTTGAATGTTTGTTGTATACTTCTATATACTCATGCTGCTGTAGCTCTGTACAGCATGTTCTGATGCTGGTGTCCAAGTCTTAAGCAGCTTGGCTGTGGTTCTAAGTTATGTAAGGACTCTTGTTTTGCCAGTGACAAGACACATGGCATCAATCGTTAAACTGGATCTAGGATACTATTGAATGGTACACTTTGTGTTTTGTGTGAAGTAAATATAGCAGTTATTGGATTACTTACTATTGTTCCAAAGAAAGATAACGTTATTAGGACTAAGATTTCCACATTGATCAGCTGTATTCATACACAATCACAAGCTGACAGTCCAGCTCCACAGAGGTGTGTGGCGAGGAGGGGTCATCACCATCTGTTGAGCTGCTCATCCCAAGCCATTTGTCTTTGTCCTTGTTCACGCGGGACACTTGGAAATGGGACACAGTCGATAACCCAAAATCAATCAACCACTCATGACAAAGTTAAAGGAAGAATCTGAATTCCCATCACACAACTTGTGGCCCTCGCCTGTTTCCCACATGTGACCAGATGGTATCTTCAACACAAACTAGTCAGGCGTGATATTACAAATGACAGTTTATCATCTTTACTTTAAATTATATTATTTTAAAGGCTAGTGTAGTATTAAAAGTGTTAGTTTCACAGTGAGGGGTGCACCCTACATGAACACACTCCTGTTTTGGTACAGTTCCAGACTGCTGCAGTGGATTAGTCAGCTGCTTTTATCTTATCACTGCAGAAGGCGCACAGAGGCCATCAGATCCTCAAGATGCAGCAGATCTACATGCACACCAACGAGCACTTTGATGTCTTCACCACCGTGCTGGCTCCCCAAGGTAAGATGACTGATGATGACTGCAGTGCTGCGTGCCGTGGCATGATATTAGTGAGAGCGTGATCTATGGCTCTCTGTGAGTGTGGGATTCAAGCAACTGTACATAATCATTTACTGTGTGTTTGTTTCTTTTACAAACAGGGAGATGTCATTTCATTGCTGAAGTTGAAAAGGCAAGAATGATTCAATATAATACACTTCTATCCACACTCACTGGTTTTGACAGAAATTGAAATGTTGTCTCTGGATTTTAGAAGGATGAGAAATAAGGACAGTAAGTTACCATTAGTGATGGACAATTACAAAATGCATGCCTTGAATCTAGATAAAACTATCTTTAATATGTTGCAAATGACAGAAAGCTGCAGTTCTTGAATATAGACAGTGCGTTTGTCAATATAATTTAATTAACCACAAATTAAATGCAAATTCTGGTGCCTTTACTAATTTGCATAGAGAGTACTATTTCCCCAATCCCAGCCCATTCACATGATATTATTTATAGAGGGTGAGTGTCAGATAAGGCCAAGATTTAGGGTTTCTATTTCACTAGAAGAGAGCTGTTAATCTCTGAGATTTAGACCATAATCCTTTCCATTCACTTTAACCCTGGATTTAAAACGCCACACCCCTAGCAACGTAGCTTTTATCTTTCAGAACTAGAAATAAAATAACAGCTCTATACTACACGGGCCCACAATGACAGTTTGTTGTGATGATATGTTGTAAATAAGATGTCATGCCATGTCCACACTGTCCAGATGGTGGCGGTGCACACATACGCGCCCCAGTGGCCAGACGAGCTGCAGCTGACGCCCGGTGACGTAGTGCTGGTCCTATCACAGCACGAGGAGGGTCGCTGGTTCGGGCGCCTCGCGGACGGGCAGCGGGGGTACTTCCCAGCGTCGTGCGTCATGGAGCTGAGCCAGGTCTGTGGAGAGGCGAGCGTCACTGCAGCTCTGAGATAGGCTCTTATTGTAATTACACTTACCTCTGATTTATAGAAACGTTACAACTCAAGAGCACGTGAGCATTGTCAATCCCAAACAAGTCATTCTATGAGCCTGTACAACACACCTTTGCAATGAAAAGATAATGTCTATTTTGTTTCACCAATGACAGCAAGCGTAAAGTATAAAATAGCTTCAATTATATTTAAGATGCCCCATTGAGCTGCAAAAATATAAATTTTAGGCCCCAGAGTTTGTGTTTTTTTTTTCTTCTTTATGATATGAAACAGACAGGACTACTAAAATCAATGCAATAACCTAATAAAGAAAAAAGTTGGGAAATGTGGGAAGCAATGTCGTTGTATTGAAAGTGTCCTGGATTCTGGAGTTCAGAGAGTCTCCTGCAATTTTGGCAACTGTGAATTAACTGTTAACAGTGAATTTGTTTTTTTTCAGTCTAAAACACAAAGTCTCCGGAGGACTGTGTCACTGAGGAGTACGGTTTCAGATGATGCCGCTGTCCGGAGAAGATACCAAACGTAAGTCCTGCTAAAATAAATGTACAAGTGTGGATCTGCACCCACTGAGCAGCTGTTCCGACACGGGGCCCTCCTCCCCCCAAATCCCCATCCACGGCCTGTCCCCGCCTTGTGCCTGAACAGGTGGCCCCTCCGCTGCCTCATTAGTTTACAATGCACTCTGATTACATCCCCCACCCATATGACCCACGCACTCCACCACGCACTCCACCACGCACCCATTAATAAGGGAGGGAAAGGAAAGGATGCTGTGTTTACATTCATATTTGACAACAATAGGCTTTGAAAGTCAAAAAAGTGCATTCACAAATGTCAGATTCAGATTCAGATTCATTTATTTGCCATTTGCAGTAAAACCACATTGGAAAAACTGTGCAAGACTACCCCGGTGTGCGCCAGACAGAGACGACACACACCAGAGCTCTTGCCACGGCGCCATTTTTCCGGCGCCATGCGACAAACAGTAGAATAAACAGCAGAGAGCAATAACATACAGGTTACAACAGACAGTTGGATAGAAAACATTGTGCTTTTTATAAACCACGGATTTTTTTCTCGGGATGAGCACCTCTGGCTGCCGGTCCAATGTGGCTGTCAGAGGGGGGCGGGGTCAGGGAGGGGGTGAGTCGGAAACACAATGAGGAGGGGAGGGGAGGGAGAGATCAGAGGGAGGCGAGGGGAGCGGGATCCAAACTGGAAGACTGAAAGAGTGTGAAAATGTAGTGATTCTATCAAAGTACATAGATGAGTATTTATGAGCATTGAGCATTATTTATGACAGAAATGTAGGCTATGTGCTGTTTATTTTTTGGTGTTAATTAAAATTTCATTTAAAAAAATCCAAATGCTTTTAGATGTTTTGAGAACACTTTATGTTTGTAAAGGTAGTGCTCAGATGAAGCTGCAGGGATAGACGCTGTAGTCCAGAGGTACATGTTTGTTTGACAGTGTCCCAGTGAGTTTGTACACAGCGGCCTCTGTCCCGCACCACGCTGCTCTCGCACTGGAATTTGGGTCATGAGGAATAAACAGGCTTTGTGTTTGTTATTTCCTCTTTGTCCCCAGTGGACACGTTCAGCAGGCCCTCAGGAGGGGCAGCAGAGCAGGAGGAGGGGCCCTGGACTGGAGCCAGTCTGACAGCGAGGGCCCCGTCGCAGCTCCACACACACAGCGGTCGCCCAGTCTCCTCCACAGGATCCTGTCCAAGTGCCGCAGGAAGAGCCAGTGCCAGGGAGCCACCAATAGTGCCTTTGAGGGTGACTAGACGGCCCTCCCACTCTTCACTGTGCTCCATACAAATAATTTATCCTGAAGGTAAATAGTGGACAAGCAGCTGGATCATTTCTGTAGGTGTGCATGGCTCCACACACTCTGATTCAAGTTGTAACAATGTCACCATTGCTATAATATAAATAACTTTACTGTGTTCATGTCAATGTCATACAAAATGTTAATATTATATTGTATTTTCATACATTGATTGCTATGTATGAGAAAAGTGTTCATGTATTTTAAGAATAACATTAATCTGATAAATATTGCATGCAGATAAACTAAATGTTAAGTTTTTTTAGATTAAGAACATACAAACTTGAAATTTCCATTCTCTACAAAGACCCTGGTTCATTACCTCACATCCTTTGAGCGCTCTGGGCCCCTCTCTTTCACTGCTGCTGGAGAATCTCATGAAAGAAGCAGTACGGAGGCCTATGGCAAACTTCTGCAAATGACCACAGACTGTGGCTGTTGCCATGAGCAACAGTGGAGTATGTACATGAGCACTCTTTTGTTTCTGTTGCTGAGCAGGCTGGAGGTTACCAATCTCTGGAAAATGTACACAAACTTTAATCCTAACCTTGGCCTTGACCTTTGCTGGGAAACTCTGTGTGTTCTCACCCTGACTAGATTAGTTCTGTGTTTGGGCCTGCTGGGGGCAGTCACACTGGGGCCAGAGCTGGGACACTTTCCTTCAGGAATCTGAGGAGACAAGTCTGCATGTCTGTCTCTGATCACACTGTGATCTAATCATTTAGGTCATGAGGCTGATTCTGATTCAAAATGTAATTGTTTATGACATAAATGGTGTAAGAAACAATTGGTGCTCCGAGAGGTATTTTTCTCACACGTTACACTCATTACACTCAGTGATGAACTCATGAGAGCTGTGTGTTATATCCTTGTGTACTGTGTGTGAAGGACAGGGGCCTCCTGTCGCTGACAGCAACAAGTGGAAAGAGTGATGATTGTGAATAGTGCTCAGAGCTCGCACAGGACGGTCCCGCGTAAAGTGTCCGACCCTGCTGCAGGAGCTGCCTTTAGGGGCACAGGGAGGGGTGAGGTGCTTACCAGATGACTGCTCTGTCAGGCCTATAATGGGCTGACATCTGCTGTCTCACAAACACAAAAGCACAGAAGTGTGTGTGTGCACTGAAGGAAAAACATGGATTCATTTTCATAAATGTATTAAGCGCATAATAGTGATAATGCATCAATTTGCAACATTGATTAAATCATCTCTAGATCACTTCCAAATAAAACTACAAAGTATGTTTTCTGTGCATCATTTCACATACAGTACATAGAAGTTCTGTGTAACAACTATTGATAATCCCAGAATATACTGTATACCGTTTTGTATGTCAGCAGTGTATAAAAGGGACTAGTTTAAGATATAAGGTGTTAGATGATAATTCTTAATAAGAATGAATAGAACCATGGTGAATCTTACTTAGTGACAGATTTAACGTGTGTAAAGATGCAATTAACTAAAAGAGATCAGCTGCTCCGAATGAGAGCATATTTGATGTTTTATGGTGTCGCAACAGAACAATAGATGCATTTGCACAAGAATGACTTTATTGAGGACAAATTGATTAAGTGAACAAGGCAAACCATGTGTTTCTGTGTATTTACATTATTGCTCTTTCGGCATGAGGCAAGTCCTCATGTTGTTTCCATCCCTCCGTTTGGGGGCAATTGAATGAATGGGTGTGTAAAGCCAACAGGACTGGGACAAAGACGCCCGGGGGCATTAAGTCATGGGTGAGTGGGCCCCTTCAGCCCCACAGCTGACCCTGTGGAGAGGGGCGAGAGGTGCTTGTGTCACGGCAGCCCAAGCCAACTCGCATCCTTACATTGACATACATAAGGAGAAGCTCCTCCTTAAGCTTTTAGCTGCTCTGTGCTCCTGAGGGCACATGACTGAAATTATTATTTTGAAACATGGAAAAGGACACAAATTATGACAAAATGCATTTATTTCTTGTAACAAAATGTAACAAATTTTCATCGTACCAGTTATTTCAATAACAAATGTTACAAAATAGTATTACAGTTGTGATTCGCCTTAATCAAATTCAGCATTTTGCATTCAAGCATGATTATTGCATGTTGTCAATGACTGCAGTTACTTTTGTGTTCTACTTCATTTCCCTCATGTAATAACTTCAAAACCTAATGACTTGTTTCAGATAACAACATACATACAACTTTCATACTGTGAGTTACAGAAGCAACCCATGTACCTTGGCTCCTTTTCCCTTTTCCCTCCATTAGAGAGCTAATCCAAAAATACACGTCAATGCCACATGTTGTGGGTTGCGTAACAGTTAGAAAATGGAAGCACTGACAAAGTTTACATAGGTTTGAGTCATGAAAGCCGACCTAACTGCACAAACAACGTTACAGACTAACACCGCACATCAAAAGAGCTGTTTAAACCATGTGATATGTACAAAACAATAGATTAAAAGTGCAATTTGTCTATGATTAGAGGTCAGGAATAGTCTTGCTAATTGGGCTAGTGTATGGTTTAAGAAAAAGCCCCACTTACATCAGAGAATCATAAAAGATCTACAGTTTATATTGACTGTAACCAACAGTGAAGATGCAGGGGGAAAGTATAATTCTTCATATTTTTATGTATCATTTCAGAAATAAATAAATTAGTAGTCATTCAATAAATAACTGGACAGCCTCAAAAAATAATGAATCCTTCAGGAGAAATGCATTACACAATTCTTCAACATATTGCTGAAACCAGATAAAATCATAGTACATGTATTTTTAGGCTGTTTTGACAGCAAAGTTAGACTTTAAAATGTATAATGTCTGATTTATATTAACATCTAAACTTAAGAGCTGTCAGATAATAAATAAATAAACATACAAGGTATCCTTCTGTCTCACTGAAACTATGGCCTTTTGAAATGTTGCACGACAAACACACAGTACTATCCAGTCTCCACAGCAGCAAAACATTAGTGCAACACTACTGGGTCCTAACAATGGCAAACATCTAAAAAGTTATGAACAAACTGGACCGTTTTCTGCAGCATTTAGTTTAGCAATGAACTGGAAGAGATGCCACACACGTTAAAAATTAGATTCTTACATTTAAATATATATTAACATTTAAAGTATACACACGTTCCTATCCACCACTTTCTAGTGCAGAAGCTACCTGTCTAACTGTACAAAAATGCTTTTGTAGTGAATTGTATTTTGATAGAATAGGTCTATGAGCACAAGCACCACCTGGCAGTGACCAAGGAACATGCACAATTACAGCAGCCATGTTTTTGAGTGTCCTCGACAGTTCTGCTCTGGATTGTCTCTGACTGGACTCACTGTGGACCCGGTGCTGAAGTCTGAAGTATGGACTGTTCAGAGTACGAGGGCTCTTGAGGTGTAGGGGGTCAGGTACTGCCGGGCCTGTTCTGTCAGCAGCAGCTGGTCCTCAGTCTTCCCATAAACCACTGCCTCCCAGTCGTTCTCCTGCACAGAAGAGCTCTGGTCATGAAGGGCTCCTTAAGCAGTGCTATGATCATTGCTATAATAGTTTGCATGTTTTTACCTCGTTTAAAGTGTGTTTCTGTGTTTTCTCAGCAGCAGAGGGATTGAAGTGATTCACAGATAGAGATTCCTCGTCTAAGCAGCTCAAAGCCTGGCCTCCATCTTCCTCTTCTGGATTGGTGTTGATGAGGGATGAGCTCGTCAGGAGGCTTTCATCTGGAAGCTGAAAAAAGATTGAAAATGATTCAACTTGGATCCACATACTCTCTTCCAATTTAGCAGTTACTGGCACAAGAATTTAAAGCTGGAGCATCTAACTTTTGTAGTCGTTTTATAAATACAACCAGTGTGTCTCAACAGAAAGCCTTGTTTAAGGACATTGTAAACAAATCAAACAGCAATAATATATTACAAAACAATATATATTTTACACACAGAGTGAAGTCTGTGACATAGGCCAAAAATACATGGATGTGAATTCTAGTGATAGAACCAAACTGTTGAGAGCTTTTAACTAGTTATTGCACTTTATTTATTCATTATTTTGTGGTTTTAAAGTTACGTACTTGTGCAATGTTGAGCTGCTCTGGAAAGAGTTGTACATTCAGACAATCTTTATCCCAGTGATCAAGCACAAGGGACTTCCGCACCTTCCGAGCTGGAGCATCCAACTGAAATTTTTTTTTTGTATTGAAATATCAAAATTTATAACATAAACGTCCTATCACCTCATTGGGCAAAGTTAATTATATAATACAGTGGAATTGCTTACATTGTGTTTCCATGTTCGATAATCTGTTCTGTTAAATATGTCTGTCTCATGCTTCAAAACCTCTCGAATGTCCTCCTCGAGAAATGCCAGAGACTGTGGCTAAAGACAAGATACACATTAATAAAACACAAAAAAAATCCCAATATGTAAACAAGTAATGTATGTTTAGCTCACCTCCATTTTGAGAGGTCCGTGCATTTTCTCCTGTGCAGCCAAAGCATTTTTAAACGGCGTGGGTGTCCTGGGTGTGGGGATCATAACAGTCTTTCGAAATGTAGGAGTTCTGGATCTGCACAAAGTCATTAGGAACACATTAGCCACAAGTTCAAGGGAGGAATCTGATCATCGACAGCTCGGTTTTATAACGATGATAAAATACCCTTCATTTTCCTTCTCATGTTTAGGCGTTGTTTCTTTGTTGAGCGGAGTGTTGAGCAGACACCGCTGACTGCACACAGGAGTTGATGTATGAGACGGAGTATCCAGACTCAAATGTTCTGCCCCCAAAATGTTGCAAAACTAGAAACCAAAACATTATATTCAGGCTGGGTGAAGTCAACACAACTGTACATGAACTAATGGAAACATCTTTACTTGTGATGGTGTAAACTGCAGTGATTTTGTTGGAGTTTTCTTGGGTGAATTTTGAATATTATCCATGAAGGAGTTGCAGGACCGTTCAGAGAGCGGCTCCCCTCTCTCTCCTCTCCGTTTCCTTGGGGTAGTGTGAGTGGGTTTGGATGAGGTAATGGGCGTCAGAGGTCTGGTGCTGCCAATACCAAATGTGGCAGGGTCCTTGCGTATGCATAAGGCCGTCTGGGAGTCCACTGTGTAGCCGCCCACAGTTCTCTCCTGCAGCACTGTGCTGTAGCCAGCCTTGTGTCTTGGCAGTGGTGTCTCTGACAGCTCAAAGTTGGTCATGTCACTCCATGTACCAGGATCCTGGAGAAAACACAATATTTTCATACTAGACACGCTGTAAAACACCATAAATGAATCAGTTTGAGCTAGACTTACAGAGTCAATAAGCTCCATTGTCTCGACAAACTCTGGCATGGTTTGTAAAGAAGAGAGCACAGTGCTAGCTTCTATAGCCAGGAACTTGCTTGGGGAGACAGGGGCTTGTGTCGTGGGTCGCTGAGGAGTCTTGGGTCCCCCCCACGAGCTTCTCTCTGACTGATCCTCCAAGCTGCTGCCACTGTCTGACCAGGAGTACTGCTCTATATTCTGAAGAAATCGGTACAATGTAGAGGCTTTAGTTTATAAGAAGTTGAATTTTAAGAAAATCAGAGGACACGGTGTTAAATGTACATGCTGTTTAGGATGGATCAATTATCAGAAAAAAGAATGCTCGCTGAACCAAAGCACAGCCACTTAAAACAGAGGGGAAACAGAAGAAGGGGTTGATGCTGGGACTGATGGAGGGCAGATGCAGTGTTGAAGCACAAACCTTGTGAGATGGGAGCCTAGTTACTATAGCAACACTACAGCAATATCGACTACAAAATGTTTTCAGTTTCACAAACACTGTAAAAACGACTACATATGAGATTTTGAATAGTAACTTTTAGTTATGAAGACAATCTTGCACAATGATTAATTTGTGAGGGTTACATTTGACAGTGTATAAGGAAACTGAAAACGTTCTTTAAACACAAGGTGCTAACGATGCTAACACACATCCACACTGCGCTCTTACACCAGGGGCTCTGCACTGCACTTGGTGATGGACTTCACTTTCTGCTGACATAAGCAGAAGCTCAAGCTCCTTAATTCTTTTGTCTCTGTCAGGGTCATCCAGGCATGATGGCTATAACACATTTTAGAAGATCAAGAGGACAGGAGGAAAAATGATAAGAAAACAGACAAAAGTGAATTAAACATAGATTTTGAAATAATCAGACGATTGATGTAAGAAGAAAATTACACAACTTCAACTTTTTGATTTGAAGTCCAATGTTAGCAATCACAAAGACACTGCAGAATTAGAAATAGAGAAAATAGAACTATCACAGTCTTACCGAAAGGAATCCAGGATGATTTGTAAGGCTGTCCATTAAGTTTTCATTGTGAGAATCGAAAGGGTATTGTCCAATCTGAAATCAACAGCTTTATTATTTCAATGTTGATGTCTTCCACCTAAGCAGGTCGTCTATGCTCTGACCTGGTTCTGTGGCACAGGGAGGGGGCTGTTGTCACTGCTCGGAGGATCTGCTGGTGTAGAATGACACGGTCTGTTTCGCCTTCTTCCAGTTTGAGCCAAGCTGAAGCCCTTGGCCCCTTCCTGTAGGTAGCCTTCATGCTCCACCTTCCTCCTCATGGTCGAGTTCCAGTGATTCTTGATCGAGTTGTCCGTCCTGTAAAACAGAGAAAAAAAACATAAAGTATTTTGTAGCTTCATACTGTATAGGGATTTACATGAGACGATGAAATATAAATAAAATAAATTACCTTCCAGGGAGGAGTTTCGATATCTCAGCCCAGCGGTTACCTAATCTTTTATGGGCCTCGTAAATGATGCGATCTTCTTCTTGGGTCCATGAGGACTTCTTCACCTCTGGATTGAGGTGGTTGTGCCATCGCTCTCGACATTGTTTCCCAATTCTTCCCTGGAGATGTTTTGCTATCACAGACCAGCGCTTGGGGCCGTATTTATGAACCAGGTCAATCACCTGTACAGCACAGAGAAGGGCCTTCATCAAGCTTCAGTTATATGAAACATTTGAGGCCTTTACCCATCCAGAGAATACATTGTTATAGAAAGTTAGATTCAGATTTTTCTATTCATTTGCAGTACAACCGCATAGGAATACACATGCATACAGTACCAGTACACTAGTAGTAGTAAAAAGTACAAGAAAAAATTGTTAATGTGAAACCAATCAATAAATAATAATAACACTAAATAAAATAATAATTTCAATAACAAGTACAAGATCATTACAGTGCTTTGTTCAAACTGATAACAGCTTGTGGAATGAAGCTGTTTTTGAGATATTGAGATTCCCTGCATCTCAGCAAACAATGTCTTCTGCCAGTGGGAAGAGGCTAAAACATGGCTTTTCCAAGGTGGCCAGAAGAGTCCTTGTGTTAGCCATTTCAATCTTTGACTTCAGAGTCTAAAGTTTGCATAGTCTGTATCATCTAGCAGAAGAACTTGACCTCTCTTCTCATCTTACCTTTTGATCCTCCTCTTTTGTCCAGGGTCCTTTCACCAGCTCTGGGTTGAGCACCTTCTGCCAGCGGTGCTGACACTGGCCATCTGTCCTCCCCTGTGACGGAGCCACAACAGCAGCACATGAGAACACAACAGTTTGGGCTGCTCTGGCACTGAGCCCAATGTGACATCACACTGATAAAAACACCTGTCATATTTCTTCTACTTACAGTGAAAAAGTTTGCGATTATTTTCCATGAGTCTGTTCCATGCTGCTCAACAAGTTTTTTCAGCTTTTCATCCTGGAAACAATGAGAGTTTTGTGATCTGTATTCATAAGTTCCCTAGTTTTAAGGTTACAGGGATAAAGCATTACCTCATCACGAGACCACTTCACTTTGCACAGGGCCTTTTTATCTCTGCTCTTTTCTTTACTCTCTGGGTCTGTGGATTGCATCTCTTCATCCTCGTCACTACTAAAGTAAACATTTGGAAGGAAAGCATAATGGTAGACAAATCGCGCCAGAAAATTAGAATCTCACAAACACAAGGTTGCACATTTAAGTATAAAACATATCAGATGCCTCATTTACTGCAGTGATCAACAAGAGGGAGGGGTGACATCTGGCTGGAAAAGAGCCACTTCAGTAAGCCAACTCCTTCACCTACAGAGGTATATTTGTGAGGGAGAATTTGGAAAAGGATGGGGTGTGGTCTGCAAAGTACTAACGGACCAGATTCAAAAACCATCATAATCATGCTGTTATTGGACTCAGCCATTCAGTCAACATTCTGTGCCGTGCATTAGGGAGATGTATGGGAACAAACAGCGTTAGTCAGAAAGAGGCACAGCTTTGGGGTGCATATATTTGTTTACTACAGCATTAGAACAGGCCGAACACACAGAGCATTCATGGCGGAGATTGCAAAAAGGATAACATTGCTCAGGAAATATAAAGAATAATATTATCCACAATGAGACTTAATAATTTGCCTAGAGGAAAGAGTTCCATGAAAGCTGTCATGTGAGACGTGCCCTTTGTAAAGCAGCTGCTGTCCCTTATCAATAGTCAGTGGCTTCTCTAATACATTCATACATTACTGACATATTTGCATAACTTTTCACTGTATCATCATGTCAAATAACAAAAAGGTGCTAACTCAGAGTAAGAGTACGAGTCTTTGACCTTTCACAGAATTACATAACACCTTGACTTGAATGAATTGACTGCTCGCTCCAAGTCCTAAACATTGTTCATCTTTTCACTTAAATTGGAATAATAAACAATAAACAATTTCTACGGACGTTCATACTACTGTACGGTGAAGTGGTATTAAACACGTTTTGGTTTTATAATGGCGTGAATACATGTAATTCACCAGAGCCGTGACAGGTGCAGATGCTTACAAAGAGTTAATAGAATACATTATTACTAGTTAGTATACGATAGAATACTAGTAAGAACATTTTGCTTGTGCATTATGTTTGTGTGTGTTGCATTTTCTTAAACAAATACTCATACAATAAACAATAAACATTAACAAATACAAAAGACAATACAATTGTCAGACGACACCCACCTGCGCGATTTGAGGTTGTCCATGTCCATAGTGCAAATGATGAGGGTCCTGTGTTTGGCGGCTCTTCAAAGTCCTTGTTAATGTCTTTATCCATAGAAACTGTTGTCAATATTTCCTTCAAATCCCCGAATCTCTGCAAACCAGGCTAGCAGCATCTTAGCCCAGCTGCAGCGCACTTTATCTTCCTATTCTGCAAAGCGTCTCTTCCTCGCGTCAATGAACTCCCTTGAATGAAAGTAAAAAGGTAAAGTATAGATTCAGCAGGTTCTGGTCCGTGGGTGTGCACCGGACTGCGGCTCCTGGTCAGTGATCACGGTGCAGACTTGTCCCGGGACACGGGGACACATTCGTCCATCCCGCCGATTCTGAGCACAGGCGGCCTCGGCTCTGATTGGCCCAGAGCAAACGCCAGCAGGACAGCGCTGCAGTCTGATTGGTTAAAGATGAAGAGAGGTGGGGCTTCAGTCATTTGTCATGTGATGTCTGTCCGTGAATGACGCATCAAAGACACCATTTATATTTCGCCTTTGTTTATGTTTTAGGAGGTGTTTCTTAAGGTTTTTCATCCATTCACTTGTACTCTTATAAAACACAAAACACACAACTACACAATAAATATTACCGTGGTATTTACTCTCGCGTTAGCCATTCTAATTTAGGATATAATATTACAAGAAAAAATATGTGATTCTATCTATCATTTGATTTGGGCTTTGGTGACACCTAGTGGAGAGACATAAGATCGACGTCAGCCTTCCATCAATCATAGTTGAAATATAATGTTATGAAATATATTCATAACATTTTAGATGGAAACACTGCATATGTTACATGTGTAAATCCAACATAATGAAAAGAAAGGTGGAAGAATTGGTAACGTCTGACATGGCGAGTATTGGTTTTGTGTCCTTCCATTTCCGTTTTCCCTCCAGTAATTCAATCAGGCACGGATAAAGGATCTATTATAAAATATTGATTTTCATATAGTTCTGTGGTATGAATGCACAAAATAAAACAATAGAACATGTCTATCATAACCATAGACCGATCGAAACGAATGTATCTTCATTTACCGGGTAAGTGGCGTCGTTGTGCTTGTTGTGTTTTCCTCTGTGAAGTTTGACTCTACGTCGGCCGGAAATCGTAAAAAGTAAAACGCTATTGTAAGTAAACCATGGCCTTTCATCATGTAAAACACATTTGCACTTAGACCGTGTGACAATGTATTTATGTTCCACTGTAAGTTGTGGTAGAGTCACCAAACTACGAATGTTCAATTCAAACGAGTACTAATTCAAATTAATTCAATTGATTCTTTATTAAGAACACAGATAGAACTAAATGATATACCAAGCTTTTATTTTGAAACAACTTTACAGAAACGCTTTGAGTGCGCACGTGTATCTTGACTCGGATAAGTCCCGTGACACATTTCATGGGAACTTTCTTTTTGCGGCGTGGAATACTGATGTTTCCTGCTTCTGTCGCGGCGGACAGCGTAGGGACAGCAGTCAACCCCCAAAATACGGATAAAAATACCTTTCAATCTTCACCTCAACGGAATAAACTAAGTATCTGTTGACTGTCTCCATCGAAGTCTGCGCAGAAGAGATGGAAACATATTAGAACACGGAAAGGTACGTGATGTTCACCTTTTTGAGAGTGTGGCTGAATGTCAATAGAGACAGAAACGAAAGCACAAGCAGATCCAAACACTGAACTGAACCAGGGGCAGAATGGGTGAGCAACAAGTGGTGCGATCATCATTTCCATTTTCACCTCACGACGTGGTGCAGTAATCTATTCATGTACAATGGATTTTTGTTTTCCTACATAGGATTTTACCTAGAATGGTGTCTAGTTTACACAGGAGGATTATGCTGATGTGGGTTGAGCAGAGCTTCGTTAACCACAGATTGCATGCGTTGGCTGGTACATGTTTTATCATTAGGCGCCTAGAAGTATAACTCTGGCTTGATGGTATTTTTTTCTCTCTTGTTAAAAGGGAAACTCTGGACAAGCCAAGGACACGTAAACCAAATTACGTGTCCTCCTGTTGTGCTCTAAATGTAATCCTGTCAGTCAAGATGATCAAGCACAAAAAGCATGGAAACATTGGGCAATGTCGAAATCACGAATCACGAAGGTTGTTTATAATAGAAAACCAAATTAGTTTCATTTCCGTAAATTCTATGAAATATATGTCTTCATTTGACTAACCTTTTAAGTTTTGTTTTGTTCTGAGATTTCATATGAAGTATGTGACAGTTGCCCATGGAACTAAGTGTTCATTCTGTCACCCTCTGTTTATTACTCACTCTATAAGATACTTGAATCCTGGAACTCCCTGATTCAAGTCTCAGACATTTGTTTCTATAAGGAAATGGATCAGCATTTTTCACAGGCATGCAGTCTGCAGCTGAGATGGCACAAAAGAGGAGGGTTTTTTGTTTTCTTTATCCGTTTCATTATTTCTATTGCAGTTTTTAAAAACACAAATTCTGACTTGGGTTCTCACATTACTTAAGTTGAAAAACACATGATCACACATATGGCTATTTCATGCATGGCCAGTAACTTGTGTTCCAACCCAGTAGAAAAATGTGTCGGTTCAAGTTTATTCTTGTCATCTTGAGCTCTGGCAGTGCTGGTGGTTTTGGGTTATTTTAAGAATACAAACTTAATTTATAACTTGTTCGCAAATTTGCCATTGTTAGTAATTGGGTGTGGTGCTGCATTCCAAATGAAGGAGTAGCATGGCTTCTTAAAATCTGAAGTTGTACAAGACTGTAATAGGTTATTTCCCAACTTGGACTGAAATATGCCAGGAATGTTATAGAGCAAGTCCTGAGCGGCAACGTGTGCCGTCATTTAGCCTTGAAGACTTCTACTGAAGTGGGCATCACACATACAGCCGATTTCCCAGAAAAACATAAGCACATCCCTGACTAATCGCTCTAATGTCGCATACAATTCTTAGAAGTTAGTATCTCATTTTTTAAAACACAAAAAATAAACTATATAATACAATCCATGTATCAAGTTCTTAGCTCTCAAAACGGTTTAATACTATCTCTTGTTTACATATATTTTTTCCCTCTGTATTAAGATCAACTTGTTGATGAAAAGGAGAGTACCATCCTTCACTCGACCAATCAGCTCTCAGTATGTAAAAGATACTTCTGCATTTTTTCTAATAAGATGAAGATAAAAAATGTTTCTTAAACTAGACCCTTTCTGTTCGCACAAACCACATGTATTTTTGAAACACAAAGTGCTTCTAGCTGTGTGTATTAAAGGGGGTCCAAGTTTGTAGACTATGAAAAAAATATATATATATTTTTAGAACAGTTACATTTACCAAAACTAATTAAATAATCTCAATAACACAATATTAATGAAGTAATTGTTCAGAATGATTCATCATCACAAGCATTTTCCCAGTCGTCGGTTTGACTTATTAGATACAGTGTAAGCCACCAACGTTTTGTGCGTAGCTTGATCTGTGTCCAGAAAAAGTACAAATGAATGGCCTGGAGTACAACAGCAAACATGACCTCACCCGCCGCAAACAATGCACAAAGACAACACAACCAATGGAGCCACACTGCACCAAACATGACATAAACCGGTCTGTGATAAACTGCTTACTGATGTAGAAATGCATTTGAATGATGGATTGAGATATAAAACCAATTTATTCAATCAAAATTATTGGAATTTTTCTTTTTCTAACTATTATTTTGAAGAGGATCTCCAGGGCACATCCTCGACCTATTGTGTGGGTCCAGCTTCAAAGAGTTGGTTTAAAAATACTCCCGTACAGACTGTAAGAAGTGGAAATGTCACGCAGCATGTGTCCTTGTGCAGTCAGTCTATTTGAAAGAATGTGGGCTTGAGTTATGAAGTGATTTGGAGGGTTTGATGCAAAACGTACAAGAAGCAAAGTTTGGCTGCGGTTATAGATGATGTTGTAGAGTTGGCATAGTCAGTGTATATACAACCCCCACGTGTATGTTTAATTTTGTTTGTTTTAAAAGAGACATATCATGCAAATTGACTTTTTTGACCTTTGAACCATGACGTTACAACATTGTTCCCACATCAAAAACGTGGAGTTGTTTTTTGATCCATCCACGCTAATATCAGAAACTCCTGACTCTAACATGTAACTCGGCCCCTTGTGTGTAAAACAGGGGCGTCCAAACTTTTTATTAAGAGAGTGACTTAAGTTCATCAGACTTGTCCAGGGGTTGACAGCAAGGATTGTAAAACTGTTTTGACTGGATTCAGGCTTTTTTGTGACACAATCAAAATCAAATGACACTATAAACAAATAATTTCAATGACTGGAGTTGGCTGGATGACACTGTGAAAGTGCCTCGATGGCTACAAGTTTGAAAGGCAGAGGGCCACATTACACAGTCAGCTGCATTGTGATGATGATGATCAAGGTGCTAAACTCAGTTTTTGATTAGATTAGGTTTGATTAGATTTTTTCCCCCAAAGGAGCAAAGGAGCATATACTTAACTTACTGCATTCAACATTTAATTTAAGCCAAGCATTGTGAAAGGAGAATAAAGAGGAATAAAGAGGGGTAAAGACTAAAGACTGCGTGCTGTCAACTTTATTTTTCCAAAACCGTAAGTTTTAGTGAAACATTGACAAGCTCTCTTCTTCAGCCCCATGATCTCTCATTTCTGATATACATGCAAATAATGGAGATGGAGAAGAGATTGTGAAAAAAACAGCAGCAGTAATTACTAGCAGAGTTAGTAAATATCATGTTGGTGATTATTGATACAAAAAATAAAGAAAATTGCAATTCTACAATAAACAAAGCTCCTGCCTACTAGTGAGACAGTGAGACCCTAGTGAGACCCTAGTGAGACCCTAGTGAGACCCTAGTGAGACCCTAGTGAGACCCTAGTGAGACACTAGAGAATCAGTAGCATCTCGCAAGAGCTTATTTGTTTATTGGTCTTTTTTCAAAGTCATATGAAAATCACAATAATCTCCTTTTATAGATTAGTATTGGGTACATCTTGTTTCATCGATGGCCTTTGTGTCGTGATGCGTACCTTCGGTAATGACCCTTCATGAGCTGAGACTAGAGAACTAACCCTAACCCTTAGTCTTGGGAATAGAGCTACTCTCGTGTTCATATGATCAACTTTTGAATAAAACTAATGGACAAGTTTGTGCTCCTTGTCCCGACATCACTAAACGCACACCATCACCACAAATACACACATGAACCTGCACAGTGATTCCTACATGAGGCATTTGTGCAGATATGTGTTTGTTGAGGAGGAGACTCTAAGTACGACTCTGTATTGGATTTGTTTTGAAAGTTCATTATTAGACAATAACAAAGGAAAACGACCACACAAAGCATTTTCAGATCATTCCTTTGTTTACACCCATCAGTTGACGGGCTTTATTTTCACTTCCTTAATGTGCTACTCTGTTCTCTTTTTGTGTCCAGCGTCCAGCAGCAGGATGCATGGGCCCTAAGGTGAAGTGGAAACAGCAACAGCAACAGTTCAGATCCTGATCCACAACATGCAGGAGCCTCCCAGCTTCCCCAGCGTCAGCATCCCCTGTCACGACGAGCAGAGGGACAATAAAAAACGTTACACCGTGAGTTCAATTCGATTTATTTTTGTATCGGCCTAAATCACAACAGGACTGAAACACACACTGCTACTGGCACTTTTAATGTTTTTATTGTACATATTATATTGTGTACAAAAGAGACACATTTACATTTATTTTTGCACAACCTGAGTGATTCTATCTCTGCCAAATGTGACATTAAATCTCTCCATTGTGAGATCAATAAAGGTTATCTTATCAAAGTTGTCAATTCGCCAACGCAGATCAGAGAATCAAACGGTTCAAACACATGAACTGCAACAATAAAAACCGCTTAGAGCCATTGGTCCATAAGGGGCGGAGAACCAATGTCCATAAATGTCGCTGAAGGTTGTGGATCATTACCACGTCCTCCTTAGACCCTCCTGCATCGGCAAGGAACAACTCAAAAAAAATAAAATGATACCAGCTAATATATAATATGGTAACCAAATTTTGTATTAGGACACATTTAATTTCAATACAATTATTTCTATATAAAAACTCCAAAATAACAAGATATGGAGAATGTTGGTATTTACTTTGATATTTAAGCCTGATCAGACTTTTAGTGTTGTTTTTTTTTTTTATCATTGCAAGATAATCAGCGGTTTCCCGAATGGTTGTTTTTAAAAGGCATGCTGTTTTTAAAATGCATGCTTTTGTAGTTACAGTAATAACAGAGATTTTGATAGACTTTGTCCTTTTCAGGTTTACAAAGTGATAGTGAGTGTTGGGCAGCATGACTGGTTTGTCTTCAGGCGGTATGCAGAATTTGATAAACTGTACAGTATAGTAAGTGACATTTTTTTTCTTTATCACTTGGTCCTTTTTTTTCAGAAATAATTGATCTGTTTTTTGACATTTGACAGTTACGAAGACAGTTCCCAACTATGAATTTAAAGATTCCTGCAAAAAGAATATTTGGGGACAACTTTGACCCAGGTAATTTTCATTTTATCAGCTGAAATAAATGAAAGTTTCTTGTTTGCCTCCCTCAAGTAAAATAAGTGATTTCTCCTGCAGAGTTCATCCGACAGAGACGAGCTGGTTTGCACGAGTTCATCAAGAAAATAGTCACAAATCCAAAGCTTTGTGAACAGTAAGGCTGAATTATGCATTATTTTCTCACTCATGATAAATGATTAGTTCGCCTTTTTAAGTGAATCTATGTGAAATTTGCAGGCCCGATGTAAAGACTTTCCTTCTGATGGACAGATTAAAGCGATTCTCCTATGGTTCAGAGGATGAAGACGATAAGGTGAGTAATACCACTGAATCACTTTGTATGTTCTGAACTTGAACTCTGGATGACTCATTACAACCTGTGTCTTTAACAGCACAACTCTACGTCGAGAAACATTAACCTGGGACCGTCTGGAAATCCACAGTATGTTTGTCCTTCTGCTTTTTACTGTTGGGGTCGAGCGTAACCCAAACATTTCTCTTCCCATTTCAGAGCGAAACCAACAGACTTTGACTTTTTAAAAGTCATAGGGAAAGGGAGTTTTGGTAAGGTATGTGAAATGAAATGATATCTGATCACGGTGCTGGAATGACGATGGTATGTTGTCCATGCAATGCTTTGTGAAAGTACTTCTGCACGTTTGGTCATGTTACAACCACAAACATGAATATTTTACTGAAAGAACACAATTCACCGACGACTGTGAAGTGAAAGCAAAATTATACATGATGATTAAAGGAAAGGCAAGGCAAGTGTATTTGTATAGTGCAAATCATACACAAGGAAACTCAAAGTGCTGAAAGTAATCATGCAGAGGTAATACTATGTGGGATCCTCAAAGCTCCAGCTCCAGAAGCTGTATGTCCAAAAATCTCCTTTATTTTTGCTCTATCCACCTTCCTACAACTCTGACACTCCCTGCCCCTGCTGAAGAAAAGCAGCCCCATGACATGATGCTGCCACCCCCATATTTGACTCCGGGGATGTTGCACTGAGGGAGATGAGCATTCAGCCGCCATTGGGAATATTTTGAAGGCACTCAATCACAAAATGCTGTATGAATACTTGTGCATCCCCACTTTTCTATTCTGAAAATAGAACAAAATCATGAATAATTTTTCTTTCACTTATCAATTGCTTGTGTGTGAACTTTCAGTACAAAATAATATCTTTATGGTCATGGTTGGAAACACAAAAAAACTTGCAAAAGTTCAGGTAGTATTCTTTCTTTCATTAATTTTTTTTACTTAAATAGTAATAATTGAGTAATCTAATATTTCTTTGAACTATTCACAGACCAAACAGTTGTATGACTCAAACAAAGATGATTTTACAGAAGGACATGAGACTAAAACCAAAAATAAATACATCACCCAATGGCATCACTTTTGCATTGTTTTGGTCATCTGAAGAAATCCCATATTCTTCAGATGACCTTTTGTGATCTAAATTAACTGAAAGAAGAATCATATTTGTGGATTTAATTCAACTGTCAAAGCAGGTTGAAATATTGAAGGGAATAAGCAATATATCCTTGCTATATGTTTTCCAAGCATAATGGTATCAGCTCATTTTAACTGGCCTATTTCCATTCACAGGTTTTTCTTGCAAAAAGGAAACATGATGAAAAGTATTATGCAGTTAAAGTGTTACAGAAAAAAGTAATTCTTAACCGAAAAGAAGTAAGTCAAAACTTCTATTACAAATGTGTTGTATTTCTCTTAATTGTTGATTTTACAATGTTCTTATTTTTGTCAAATCAGCAAAAGCACATCATGGCAGAGCGCAACGTACTGCTGAAGAATGTCAAACACCCTTTCCTGGTGGGGCTCCATTATTCCTTTCAGACCGCGGACAAGTTATACTTTGTGTTGGATTTCATCAACGGAGGAGAAGTGAGTAGCAGTTTTATAAGTTATCAACAAGTGAGGGCACATAAACGCAGACCTTTTATCTAAAATCAAGAGCTATTTGATAACTCTATGGCTTTAAATGATGGGGTGTGTGTGTGTGTGAGAGAAAGACGGCATTACGGTTATTTGATCTCTAAAAATATGATTAACAATGTGGCAGTTTTACAAATCACCAATCTCTTTGTTTCCCTGCAGCTTTTCTTTCATCTACAAAAGGAGAGGACTTTTCCAGAACCCAGGGCGAGATTTTACATCGCTGAGATGGCAAGTGCACTGGGATATCTGCACGCCATCAACATTGTGTACAGGTAGTACATACAGAAACGCATATTGAACACTAGTAAATATTGAAAATGTGTATTAGTCCAGGTTTGTCTCATGTATTGGCTAAAATTCAAGATTCTTGCTTCTTACATATATATACATTCATATCTATCTTTGTTATTTATTGCAGTGTAGGATTTTCTTTGCACTTGAACTATGCTATTAGCTAACTTTGCAAACTTTGACTAACTTTGACGTTTGATGTTATTGAATTCATCTTTTCACAGAGACTTGAAGCCAGAAAACATTCTTCTAGATCATGAAGTAAGCACCTTTTTAGTCCCGAAGATTCACTTAAAGCACACAGTAATTCAAATATTTCTGAAACCGTTTTTTTGTAGTCACTATATTTTAGAATGAGATCCATTGTGGTCTCCCTTTTATAAATTGTCATACAAGCACTCACAAAGCACAGAATGTGCTTCCATGTGACCTCTTATAATTTTGCAATTAGCGAAAACCAACTTAATTACCGGCACGTTTTGTCTAACAATGTTCCTGCCTGCGCTCATGAGGCATTGGTGAACAGAGCTGGCTGGATTGTGCTGTAGCCAACATTCCTGGGCAACAATACAACCTCACTGCCTGCAGATAATGGGCTGCTTGTGTGGCACATGCTGACGGTAAATCTGTTTCCGTTCCATTCAGGGGCATATCGTTTTGACCGACTTTGGATTGTGCAAAGAGGGCATTTCTCAAACCGATACAACCATGACATTTTGTGGAACACCTGAGGTAAGAAGGTGCAGCCATAAGTGTAGTTTATAGGAAGTGGTGGAACGAAGTAAAGAAGGGTATCTGTTTTCTACTTAAAGATCACTTAAACTTGGACAAAATCTAAATGGACAAAAAAACACAAATAATCAAACGTTTTTACTTATATATACATTTTCCTTTTCACCATAATACAGTTGTTAAATTTTGAACTGACAAACTACTATTTAAATTCTTTAGCCATATGTGAAATCCTGATCTCTGAACCTAAGTAGTAAGTCCTGGTTAGTACTGTGATGGGAGACCACTGGAGATATCTGATGCCATAGTAGGGCAGCTGCAAAGTGCCAAACTGTTATTGTATCCTTAGGCAAGACACTTCACCCACATTTCCAAGTATTAGTCTGCTTTGTGTGAATGATTAGTGGTGGTTGGAGAGACAGATGGCCTAGCTTCTATCAGTCTGCCCCAGGGCAGATGAGGCTATTGTAGTTTATCTCTGTGTATGTAGTGAGTAAATGATGCCATGTGAAGTATCCAAAGTTGGTCCATTGTTAATTATTACTTTCTAATGGGGTTAACTTCACACTTTTGATTATTTTTGTATATAAAAAAAATTTGATTACTTGCACCAATGACAGTAGGAGCTGTCTTCAAATAAAGCTGGAAAATGGTATTAATTGTTGTTTCGTCTGCAGTACTTGGCTCCTGAAGTCTTGAGAAAGCAAGCATACGACAACACCGTAGACTGGTGGTGTTTGGGCTCCGTCCTGTATGAGATGCTTTATGGCCTGGTGAGGTGGACACACATTTTTTGTTACTTGTAAAATGTTTCTCTTTGTCTCAACTGGTTTATTTCCACACAGCCTCCGTTCTACAGCCGGGACACTCACGAAATGTACGACAACATCCTGCACAAGCCTTTGGTGATGCGTTCAGGGGCCTCCCACTCAGCCTGGGCTCTTCTGCAGGGCCTGTTGGAAAAAGATAATGCCCTCAGACTGGGGTGCAAGGAGGATTTTGTACGTGAGGCAAAATGTAATATTTGGCTCCCTCTAGTGGACTTCTTTAATTTGTGTGTTTTAATATTTGTTTTAAAAGAATGAAATTAAGGACCACGACTTCTTCATTAGTATTGACTGGGATGACCTGGAACAAAAGAAGATTCCTCCTCCATTTACACCTAATGTGGTAAATAATTTAGTCAATCCCTGGTATACAATGTATTTCAAATGTATGGCTGTGTTTCAAATATGACCTTATTTGTTTTCCTCCACCAGAGCAGCCCTGCCGACATCTCAAACTTTGACACAGAATTCACAGATGAAATGGTCCCAAACTCAATCTGTTGGTCTCAAGACCATTCCAAAGTGAATGCCAGTGTTATGGAAGCAGACGATGCCTTTGTGGGTTTCTCGTATGCTCCACCATCAGATGACGCTTTCTTATGAGACAAAGAGGATTACTCTCCCTAACTTGAAAAAACGAAAGGGAACGCGGACAGTGTCTTCAAAGCATTCAGCCAAAACGAGTTGGTTGAGACCATGGATCTATCACAGAGGTTTTATCAATATCTATTTATAGAACTAAATGTAAACAATACACTTTTTATCATATGCATTGTTGCTAGATACTTTTTTCTTATTGCTTTAGCGATGCCTTATAGCATACAAATTTCTGGTAAACTTGAAAAATGAACATTCCTATTACGTGGAGTTATTTCCATACAATTACTGTAAAACTTGGATACTGGGCAGACTTCAGCGGAGTCTGGTTCGAGCTTAATCTTAGGTCAGTCATGTGGAATAATGTGCATACAGTCAGGTATTGTATTGTGCCATGTGTATTTGATGTTTATTTGCTTCAGTGCATGTAGATATTAACAAATGCATTTATTTGTACTGCTGGACAAAAATAAATCACATTGAAAAACAGAGAACAGGAAATATTTCCTTTATAAATATAAATGTAATTATTTTTTATATTATTTGCTTCACAATAAAACGGACAGTATCCTAGACTGTAAATATTAAGACATGTGTTGTATGTAGTGTCGCGGGAGGAGCCTCCAGATCCCGGGCTTCTATGGCTCCTACATGAGCAGAGAACCCTGGGCCAGGTTTAGAACCAGTTTAGAACATATATTGTAATAACTGCTGTAAAATGTCGTCTTTTGACATATTGTCTCTGAAAGAAGCGGCGTTAGTTTATTTAGACAGGAGTGGAGGTCTTGAAGAGCTCTGTGAAGCCTGTAGAGTGTATGAAGGTAACTGTGTTAGCTAACCACTGCTAAGGCTAATGCTAATATGATACAATATTGTACTATTTTCAGGACAACAGCAAGATGAAGCTGTGTACACATTTTGTATAAGTATAAATCCGACTGATGTCATTGAGGTGGATTCAGAGCTGGGCGATATTGTTCTTCATGATCCTTTAAAGGCAACTAAAGTGTTTCAGTCTGTAAGTAAAATATCAGTCATTATCTTGATGTACAGGGAGGAGTTCTCTGTTCTCATGTTTTATAACGACACGCACACACGCGCGCACACACACACACACACACACACACACACACACACACACACACACACACACACACACACACACACACACACACACACACACTACTCATACTATGTACAACAAAACCGAATAAACAATTTTATGTTTATGAAATGTATTTGTTTTCACACACATGTGAAAGGGGCACCAGGACGTTAGCCTGATCTCACCACACCATTGTACTAATTTCATTTCGTACTAAGGGAAATAATAATTGACCAGAGTGGGTGGCTAAGCCCAGGCTGCCAGAACGATCAATTTCACAAAAGATTGGAAATAATGAAATGTTTGAGCTGCAAAATATTTAAACTCCTTATTTTCAAGTTCTTGTACAAACATACTTTAAAAACCATTGATCCTGGGATATTGTATTCATAGAGCCAAATATCCATTCGAATAAACATGTCAGATAATAATGTATTATTTTATTAATAAATGTAATACAATGTTTCTCTCTAAGAGTAACTGCACAGTCTTTCATTCTTTGTTTAGGTCTGCTACCTTGCTATTAAGACACTTGAGTTGTTGGATAAAATCCACACCGAAAGTCAGGTAGCTTAAAGAAATGCTACGTCTTTATTTAAATATGAAGTGTTTATTGCCATGATGATCACGTATGGATATGTTTCTTTCTAGATAAATATTATACTCAAATTTACTCACCTTCCTCCCTTCCCTGAATACACTCTGGATCTTTGTGCATTCCCCCGTGCAAATGTCCTTTTAAAGCCAGTCTTTGTGGAGGGTCTTGTCATTGCCTTGACCAGGGTCACCAAGTACACCCAAGGGGCCCGGTTCCTCTGCATGAATGAGGACTGCACCTGCTCCTCTGGTCGATCTGTTGTTTTAAACCATCCCTCTCACTGGCATAACTTAGTATTGTCTTAACCTGTGTCCCTGATGTCTTTAGGGTACCAAAACATACGAGTTCACACTCCAGGGGCTACAGAGTTTGCAACAGTCAGAAATGATTTTAGCTGCAAAGTCTGCAATTCCCAGATGAAAGAAGATATGAAGCTCAGAGTATTGGGAGGTATGAGTTTGTGATATGTGAGGTTTTGAAAAAATATGGTTGAATATTATTTGGCCTGCAAAATATTTCTTACATCTCTTTTGAGGACAGACAAACAGCTGGTGAAGCTGATTCCTTATCAGGCACTTGATCTTCTTAGGGGACACCAGAAAGCCTCGCTAAAATACCAGTCAGTCACCCTTTTTCTCAGAGGTAACAGCACAACAGTCTTAAAAAAGATTAGGCCAAATTGTTCTTGTTCAGATCTTAAAATTCTCTTCTTCTGTGAAGAAAGATTTAGTTTGTTAAAATATAGTCAATATATTTTGTATGGGAACAGCAGATGACTTACCAGGTTTTAAATGATTCTAAAGATAAAGTACCTATAGCATGGTACACTAGTATTTATGTTCCTCTAAAAACACTGTTCAGTTGAGACCCATGAGATTTTGGCATATCTCAGCACCAGATTAACATTCTGTTGACCTAGTCCTGTAGCGGAATTCTATACTGTGGGTTTCTGTTACTAAAAATATATGTTAATAAGTGCAAGAAACACTCATTAGTTAAATCTGCCACTCAAACACAGAGAAATCTTTGTTCAGAAGTGCTTTCTCTGTTTTTCTTGGCATTGGCACGTATGTTTCTTCAACAATCACCATAAACCAAGGAACTACTCTTGTAATACATTATTTTGTATTCATACAGACGAGCTGTGTAACTCTATGGGAATTGGTCAAACATACAAAGTACTAGGGATTCCTGCACATGTGCATCAGTGGCCTCACGTCACCTGGAGTATTGAGGCAAACAACATCCAGCCGTGGGAGCCTGAGTGTGAGCCACTGATATGAAAATAATGAATATTTCATCTGTAATTTTCACAACCCATGATTGACACACTTTACTTGTCTGCAGGTTCATCTAAAGTGAGTGCTACTTTCCTGGAGCTACTCAGGAACACAGTTGGCTCACCATGGAGATTTTCTGCCATTGCTGCTCACTGTTTTGGGTTAGAGATTGCTCCACCAGGCTTCTATAACTCCTTAAAGCTCTGCCTGTTGCTCAGTTTAGTGCAAACTGCCACTGATTCAAAGGAAATGTTTCATAGTCTGGATATTCTTGTTTGCAACAATGAATCTCTAATATTGGACAGGTACTAAAACATCACATTTCCTCATTTCCTACTGAGTATTTACTGTTTGATAGGCTCCTGACATACAGCTTAAGCTTGGCTCAGAGAGGGATCAGGCATCAGTCTTCAACAGAAATGTTTGCATCTTTATCACGAGATGAACACGGAGCAGGCACAGCTAACATCCACGCTGGCTCAGCTCTGCTGGCCACAGGGGGCATCTGCATGTTAGGAGATCTAGGCTGCTACAAAAAGGACAAACTGGAGGCCATTCAGACTGGTGAATCATTTATCTTTGTGATATTAAAACTACTCAAAAATAGAAACATCAGTATGTGTTTTGTTAGTGTTGGAGGGCCGGACAGTGTCTGTATTCATTCCTGCTAAAAAGTATGGAGAGGATGTAGACCAGCAGCTTTCCTTCCCTCTACACTGCAGCTTCTGGGCACTGATCGACATTGCAGATCATTCTCATCGGTCCAACAGGACAGAATGTGCAGCTCTTGGAACAGCAGTAGGTGGTGACAAGGAAAATATGATTAGATGCGATTAATATACCTGCATGTTTTCACTTGTAGGATTTAGGCCCAATACAGATAAAACTGGCAGATGCATTTGGATTGCTCCTTCAGTGCAGAGATGTGGGAGCCACAGGCCTTTTTCACACCACTCACATTCTTCAACAGGCTGTTCAATCAGGAGCAGGTCTCTATTCCTGCACCTTCTCCACTCAGGATTACCAAGAGGTTCATATGTATTGCATTTACAATTTAAACACTACCGATGCAACTGAACAATGATTAATGATAATTTTAGCTTGTAGCCCAGGCCCGTCTGCTGCAAGTTGAACTCAGTTCAGGTGCAGAGAAGATAATTCATGGATATTACATGGCAAGTCGAAGACTACGAACTCAGTCTCAGGGTGTGAAAATGTCTGTAGGCTCAATAAAACTATTGTAAGTATCAATATTACAAATATTTTCTCAACATTTTATTCAGACATAAAAATTACATGAAAACATTGTCTCTTAGAATCTCCTTAGCAGAGGCCCACTGCAAGCTGTCCCTCCGGACTCAGGTGCTGGAGGAAGATGCAGTCATTGCAGTGCTGCTGTGTGAAAGCTCAGTCTCACTAAAACATGGTATCAATCAAAATTTTATTTATAAAGCGCTTTTCATACAAAAAAATGTAACAAAGTGCTTTACAGTTTAGTTAAAAACAATCCAACATGCCCAGCCCTAAACCCTCCTCCCCACAGACCCCCCCAAAACCACATTTATAATTATATATACACAACCACATGCGTATACACACGCACACACACATAAAATAGGTAAAACAATAAAAAGAAATGGGGCTGGGAGCAGATGTAACCGGCTGAAGAAGCGTCATCCAAGGAGCCATCTGCACCAGGAGCAGAGAGCCGGCTGCAGCCACAGGGAACGACACAGGACCCAGAGGAGAGAGGAGGCCCCAGACCCCCACTGGATCCAAGAGCCAGACCCCCGAAGCCGCAGCAGACCCCAGCTCCCAGTGCAGAGGGCTCCTCCAGAGGAAACACTGGGGACACTAAAACAATACAATTATACAATAGAAAGTAAAACAATAAAATGCAACAATAAAAAGAAAAATGGCAGCTGCCTAATATTGATAATAACAATAGTAAATGGGTAGATACAATAAATAATTAAAAATAGTAAATAATAATATGTACTAACAAAGATCACAAATGAGTAGAGTTTAAAATAATTATCATGGCAGGAACATCTCCCCTGGTTCTTCCTCCGGACGCAGCGTTTCCTTGCGATATGTCTGATGTCGACAGTCTGCACCGGAGAGACTTGATCCTGGATCAGCTGCACCAGGACATACTGCGGTTCATCTACGCGTACGCTCCAGGTGCCGACTCCTACATCACAGAGGAGTAATACAGGTGAGCTGGAACATCATTTTAGTTCAAAATAAAAATACATAGCTGTTAACAGGACTCACCATTCGAGTTTGAGCTACATGGCACAGGCTCCTATGGAAAAAAGAACATCTTAACATTTATAAGCACATTTGCAAGTGAGGACTAAGCAGTCAACATAAGCCACAATCAGTAGTTTCAAAATCACCACTTTAAGGTCTGATGGGTAAACGGCAAAAGAAAAAGTCATCACAGTGGCATTTACATTTATTAAAAGGTTTTAAATTAAATTACACTTACTTTCCAGAAGACACATTCTTGTTACATCTGGGTGTACCTAAAAATAAGTTTTAGTTTATATAAACAAATGCAACCAAATAAAAAAAGCATCAACTTTATAAAACGTTCAGTAGTCACAGCATCACCATATTTTGTCAGATGGGTAAACGGCAATAATATGAGCTCATCATCACAAACAAACAACAATGTAATGCCGTTAACTCACTGTTGAAATAGGCGTCGAGCACTCATTTGGTTCAGTGAGGCCGTGTCATGCTCCACCTGCGACAACAGAATGCACACTCAATACGGCCAAAACTGAGTGTAAAGGGCGGCTTATTTTCACATATTTTCAGATATCACAGTTTCACCATTTTGAGTCTGATGGGTAAACGGCATAAAGTATGAACTCATCACAAAGTATTCTTAGTAGCGGCTTCATTATAGAACGCAGCAATCGTAAAAATAAAAAAATAAGAACTTACATGTGCTTTCCCCTGCCTCTTGCACCTGAAAGATGTAACAGTTATAAAAAAAAAACAAAAAAAGACAATGCAGTAGTAATGTGTTTTAATATTTTTTTCTCAGCATTACCATATTTTGTCAGATGGGTAAACGGCAATAATATGAGCTCATCATTATCAAACACGGCACAAAGAATGCATTTACTCACTCTTGAAAAAGGGGCCGATGTCATAGTTTGCTGGTGAGGCCGCGTCATGCTCCATCTGCAGCAACAGAATACACACACTCAATACGGCAGATAAGTGTGGGTGTAAAGAGCTTATTCACGCTTATTTCAGATACAGTTTCACCATTTTGAGTGATGGGAAAAAGTATTAAATCAAAATAATCCCAGTAGCCGTTTCATTAGAGAAAGCAGCCATCTCAACAAAAGCCAAATTTTACTTTGAAACTTACATGTCCTTTTTCTCCTGCCTCTTGTACCTGAAAGATTTTAAGACAGTTAAGAAAAAAATGAAAGCCATTACAAGGGAAAAAAAAACAATTCTTTCAGCATTCAGTAGTCACAAAATCACCATATTTTTGTCTGATGGGTAAACGGCAATAATATGAGCTCATCATCACAAATAAACACTGCACTATGTAAGAATGCAGTTACTTACCCTTGAAAGAGGTGCCGAGGATCTTAGACTGGTAAGGTCTTCATGGTCCACCTGCAGCAACAGAATACACACACTCAATACGGCTAATATTGTGGGTGTAGAGATCAGTGTGTTTTCACTTTGTTTCAGATATCACAGTTTCACCATTTTGAGTCTGATGGGTAAACGGCAAATAGTATAAACTCATCATAATCAATATAAAAAAATTACACTGGTTGAAAATCGGAAGCTTACCACCACACGGCTTTTGGTTTGGATGAGGGACCACAGAGCATTAAGGAAACTGTAGGAGGGGAATAACACATTTAAAAGATATTTCGATTTGGCTAACAATTTCAGTACAACTACAATTTACCTCGTCCACGTATCCAAATTGAGGCAACGAATTGTTGAGGACAAACCTGCAAATGACAAGAATACACTTTATAATTCCATAGTTTACATCGAGACTTATTGATTGTAAATCCTTTGTGGAATAAGACGTACTGAGAGAGTAGTCAATATATGAAGATCATAGATGAGTGATCACCTAAAGGCCAAAGGGCCTGGTTCTCCACGCGCACTGCAGGTCTGTACGGGTTCAACAGCAGGTCCTGACCTCTGCCATGACCTGATGTCCCACAAGAGAAGCGCGCTGCTTAATGCGCTTTAACGAGCAATTCCCTGACCAGCTCATCAGCTGACCCATGGACACAACCAAGTCAAGACAGTGGCATAAAGGGCTTCGTTGCCTTCTGTCCAGAAATGATTTATTACAAGCTCAAACGTTCACACGGAAATACCTGTGGGCATCGGATGTATTAAAAGTAAAAAAGCTGATATTTTAAGCAGAACGCATCTTAAAATCATCAGCCATAATCAAAACTACACAGATGCACGTTTAGCCCATTTATTTGTGATACATCCATAGACTAACTTATTTGACCAATTCGTTACAATACTTTGCTCAAACCCTCTGAGCACATTTCCAACACGTGGTTAGCGGCTAGCTTCTAAGTTAGCCTTTGTACAAGCTTATACGCGTGTTTGCAAGTCACTTTAGAAAATGCAATCATTGTAACTCTAAAAGTACATATCGCTTACCTCTCGAGGTCGTTTTTAGGTAAAATCGCCATAATTGTGTAGTCTGTGCAGAGGTGCTGCTGCTTCTCAGTCCAGTCCACGGAGAGAAAGCTCTTCCGGATGTTGCGCACTAAAGCTGCGCGCTGTCACTGCGCACAACTCTAACAAACAAAAGTTCCTTGGAATCTGGAATGTAAATTATCATAACAAACAACTGTCAAAGAACAACTGGATTGCCTGTTTTATTAGTAGTACAATTGTATTTAATCATATCATATATTTTTTTGTTTTATTATTCTTAGTTTTGGGGAGAATATTTATGTATTTAGTTTGAAAATACTGAATTAATGTTTTAAGATGTATTTTGTTACATAATCATTACATTGTTCAATCAGTACTGTATTATAGCTGCAGCTTGATTCTTTAAGTAATCTATCGAATATTATTTTCTATTAATTGAGTGTTCCTAGACCCCCCCAAAAAAAAACATTTCTTCTTGGATATTAGATATAGGATTAAAAAAAAGTGTTATTCGCAGGTCAAATGGACAGTTTTTTGTGTGAAATAATGTTTGACTTTCTCCCCCCTAAAGTCAGTGCTGTGTAGGCGTCACACGCAACTGAGAAACAAGTGCATATTGACATGGTTTTGAATAATTATATAAGTTAATAAATTAACAGAGGCAATAAAATTGAAGCTTTATTGTAATCAAATCATTCGACTAATTGATTAATCTTAACCCTATATATTTCACTTTGATTTATTATTTTACAGTTCATAATGATTCTGTAATAATAATAAAATACGTTTATTTCTGCATCTGTTATGAATTTATCATTGTTTATTAGAAAATAGAACAAACTCATGTGCACTATAAGTTACTTTTAATAAAATGTTCCCCTTCGAAGCTTAATTAAATGATCAAATATTACTATAATATTGTGAAACCACCGCAGGAGAAATGCTTTCACTCAAGTACATTCACTCATTTATTAGTATACGAATAAATACACTTTTAACACGTTAGTGTTAAAACTAGAAAAACTGTTTTCAGCACATTTACTTCCCAAAACGAATTATTCATAATCATTCATATTAGTAGCTTCTTTTGTTATTTTAGCAATAACTGAATGTTGTCTTAGAGGCCGCATTTAAAACACATTTATTCACGAACACATTTACAACAATGCGTGTAAAATGTAGGCGCATGAGCTGAAGAGCCTTCATTGTTGGCTCCCTGACAGACCACTTCACATGACAGATGTTAGGTTATTCATACATTTAGTGCAAATGTTTTAACTGAAAGTGCGTACCTCAACCATGACGGGCTCATTAGCCCTTGGAATTTCCACAAATATCACCTGGGACTACAACACAAACAAAAAGAAACTAAAAACACGAGCAACTGTTTCAAACAGAATTTTCTTAATATAATAATAATAATTTACTACAGCTTTACAAAAGTGTCCCTCAATCATCTGTTCTCGTCACAGCATGAAACCATGCATTTAAATACAATGAGCCGAGATCCTATTAGGAAGTCGATGAGGACGGGCCTTGATTTTCTGAATCCGATGGTTTTTTTGCGTTTAGAAATTGTCCTGATGCCCCCACGTACAGCCGAGACCTCATCGGCCATTTCTGAAAAGACCAAAGAGGGGCATACTAGATTAAGTGTGTTTTCAGTGTGTTTTCAGGCTACATTAACTTCCACACATAAGGCCAACTTGTGATGATCACTGATGATATTGAAACTAACCTTGACAGGATGCAGATAGCCTTCACCCTTCAGAGAGTGTAACGCCTCTGTTTGCCTTGTGCCCTCTCCCTCCTCAGCGCCTTCCTCCTGAAGTGTCCGTGTCAAATGGGCGATGTACGTGGTGGCCAGAATCAGTACATCCAGTTTGGACAGTTTGGTGTCCGGCGGCACAGACGGCAGTGTCCTTTGAAGTTCCAGAAAGGCAGTTCTCAAAGTCTGAACGCGGCTCCTCTCCCGGGCTGCGTTCGCCGCTGCAGGCCGCCCTCTCCCGGTCAGTGGCCCGGGCTGAAGCACCCTGGCCCGGGATGCTCCAGACTCCCGGCGGTGACCATCCGGACTGGAGCTGGAGCACGGGCTAGACGGGGGACTGTCATCGACCACCACCCCGGAGCTAGAACTGCTGTCCATCTGTACGGTTTGTCTGCCATGCATCGCCTACTGACCTGAGCAAGTAAAAACACACAATATCAATGTAGCTGATTTTAAAGGACAAATTTGTCCAGAGCATTCATACTTCTATATCATATTTATTTAGAACGATTTATTTAATAACTCAATACATGTCTAATATTAATATATTGTATGTAATAAACCAACTCTTACCTGCAACGTGCTGTTCAGTCCTAGACATGAAAGCTGTGTGTTCTATTCTTGAAAGAATAAATCAGTTTTCCCCGGTGTAAAAGTGTCTCGGCTCCAGTGATTCCAAAAAGTGTTGCGTCTCCAGAAGAGCATCCAACTGTTCACCTGAGCCCACGTAGCTGTGCATTTATTGGCCACACTGCGCGGTGGACAAGCGTTTTACTTCTATGTAATTAATCACGCTCTGAAGACACATTTCTTAACTTCTGTCGGTCTGATGCAGTTACTTCCAAAGCCGGAGGCAGGACTTTGCGCTCCTCCAACTCAGCGCTCGGGCGTCCCACTTTAATTCTAATTGGTTGTAAACTTGACACTGCATTTTGCACCGTCCTATCAAAGAGTTACTTTAAAGAGGTCGAATAACGCGCCCATAAATGCGTTAATCACAGGCACGTCTATCAAAGTGCATTCGACCATGAAGACAAATAAAGCAATATGCAAAACGTTTGACTAATTGCCAAGGTATCTGAAATTGCGAGTTCCTTGGAACAACTAATAAATAAGGTCCAGCTTTGCAATCAACAGGCAGCCATTGAGGAAATTCTTGTAAGGCTCATATATTAATCACTCTGATTTTCATGGCACCAAACTGAGATGTCAGCAAATTAATGAATGGGATTATTCAGTATATGTAGGGCTACATCTTCAGACTGTTCTTATTAAATGTTGTTTATGTAAGGATGGGGTAACACTATATTGCCCCCAGCCACTAATTATAAGGCATCTCTGTAGAATAGGGTTAAATAAGCTTGTTTCCCTAATTACCCTAAATCTTTCAGGGGTTGTGCAACTACATGCAGCTCCCCAAACTCCATCAAACATACCAAAACAATCATGGTAATTAGAATACATCCTAATTCTATTAAGAAATAACCCTTTAACTATTGTCACAGTTGAGTGAGTCTGAATATTTGTTTAACTTCAGATAATGTAAATCCTTGTTGAAACAAGACTTCAGGATCATTGATTATGGCATTGACCTCATCCAAGGAAGAGGATGAAAAATAACATTTCACATAGAAAGTGTACAATTGTTTGTAAATAATAATCCCTGTACGTCTGAGAATTTACACAAACTTTGTAAATAATGGTATTGTTAGAAGGATGATTTAAATCATGGTTTGAAATAAACCAGATGTGAAATGAAGACATTTCAAGATCTTAAATTTGCCAAATCAAATGTAAATTTATGTATTTGATTTTGAACAATTTATTTACAAAAGATAATTGCTTATCTTGTGACAAAAACAAAGCTTGCTTCATTGACCTGTCCAGTAACTATAAACCGAGAGTGAAATCTCTCAAAGTCCACTCACAGGAAGCATCAGTCTCTGTGTCCTGAAATGTAAATCAAATCATGAACATTGTCCAAATGTCATTGTAAGGGTCAATTATTCAGAGTGATGTTCTGTACATAATATTGTTACTTACTTTAGAGTGGCCTGGGGCATCCATTTGTTGTAGCTGGTATAGCCATAACTGGGATCACAAAGTTGAGTTTGATGGAATGAAAAGTCATCTATTAGAAGGAGGTAAAGCATATAAATGACATTTTAGTAATTCACAGTTTAAAGTACCCACAAAAAAGAGAGTCTTTTCAGACTTACTCATGGGATAAGAAATCATCGTCTGTTGTTTTCTATTTTTCTGTGCCTCTTTAGATGCTTTCCAATTTATAAGAAATTGTCGCGTCAACTCCTTTATTTCTCTTCCGTCAAGACTCACTGCTTGGTAATACACATTTGTTAGGCACATATTTCATTGTTTTGTTACTAAGTCAAACTTATCCATACCAAGTTTTCTGCATACAATTATTAGGCGGTCTTTGTACTTCTGCTGCTTGCATACAGGATTACCACTTAAATCCATTTTCACCAAGTTAGGCCAGTTGCTCACCACATCCTCCAACTTCTGAAAAAAGTTGTGACATAATGAGCACTTAAAGTACAGTGTGCATGTATTAGGTAGTTTGTCTCTGTGTAGTAGTGAACACAAGGGCTGTAATGCTGCATAAACAACACATCAGACTGTTTTAAAAAACAGTGTCGCCGGTGTCATGTAACTGCAGCCGTTCTCCTGGGGCAACATAGGGCTGGTTCCTCCAGCGGCTTGCCTGCAGTTGTATGTTTATCTAACAGCACATTAATCTAAGGCTGGAAATATGAATACTCTCCGGACACGCTCTGATTGTTCATTGCCTTCCTGTCTTGGCCAAAGCGCTTCCACTTTTCCAACCAGCACTGCAATCAGTTCAGAGGGGACCCCTGAGCACCGCGCACTCCCAAGCTTTGATAAATGATCGTGTCAGGGCCGTCACTCAGAAGGCCCTCACAGAAGAGCAGCTCTGCGCCAATTTGCCCCCCACACGGGGGCGAGGAAAGCAGCAGAGGCTGGACTCACTGAGGCAGACCGCCTCTTGTGCCTTGGCTAATGATGGGCCAGTTATGAACCTGTATTTGACCAGGCCTTCGATTCTCTTGTCTCTCTGCCCTGCGTACTGCTAACGGCCCCTGAAGTTGCTTCCCATTTGTCAACCAGGCTGACTGCTTGTCATAATCTATTTTAAAAATCCATAATGTTTTCTCTACATTTGGACCAAAAGGCGCAAAAAAAGAATTGATCTTTTGCTAGATCAATAGACGCAGACACTGGGTTGTATAAATTACAAGCTTTCAGTTCAAAATGGCGCATCAACAGAAATATACCTTTATCAGTGTGTCACATAAACTGACCATATTGACTTCTTGAGGAAGAAGGATTATGTCCTTGTTAGGTATTTAGCTATTTATCACTGTCAATCCTTTTTTCCAGAGGACGTTTTCTACCATCTCGCTGATTGCTTAAGAATATTAAAACACAGGAAAGCAGCATTTCCAGAAAAGAGTCTTTAACTTGTGCTTGTTTAAAGCTGCCAGTGTCTCTGGGGGATTAGCCACTGATTTGTTTATTTCTGACCCTGAGCAAGTCGTAGAGACTTAAAATGAAATAAAATAAAATGTTACTTCCTAAATTTCTTGGATGAAAATGTTGGGTTACTTCCCATCTGAAGGCCACACTAACTTATTACAAACGTATGACATCATTAATAAGCATTAACGTCACTGAGCAGAAGATTCTCATACCTGACCTTACAATGGAAAAGTTTAGTCTTACCAAAATGTTTTCCAGCCTATTATCAGTGGCAGAAAACTGCTGGAGCTCTTTCAGAGCTTCCAAGTCCCTCAGATCATCAATGTTGTTGTTATTAATATTCAGGACACAGAGAGATGCCTGAAAAAGAGCATAACATTCTGAATACAAAGACACAACCAACACTTATCACAAAATACAATGAATTATCAATAAATCAGATGTTGACCGTTGATCAACCTTTTTAAAATAAGAAAAAAAAAACAGTGGCTTCAGCAAAAGCAAAATTTCAAGGATGCAACATTTGATTCCAAAATATAAATTATAGTAACAAAAATATGAATGAATTTGGATGCTGTTCCAAAATCTTCCATTATTGTTTATCTGTCTAAGTAGGTCGAGAACAAAGTAAAAATGGGTCATACTGAAAGAGCTCGGAACGTCATACGGTCAAAGAGCAACTTTTCCCCTGGTGCCAGCCTCTGATTCTCCAGATGAAGTTCCCTGAGCTCACTGAGCTCATTCAGACCCTCCACTACTGCAATCTTGTTTCCACCCAGATACCTGCAGGCTTATCCATAGTTACATGAAATAGAACATCGCAAATCAACTAAACATTAATACCATACTTACAGTTTGGTGAGTTTTTTCAGGTGGGATAAATTATCTATTGCAGTAAGATTGTTGTTCTGCATATAGAGGTGTGTAAGGTTGTAAGCAAAGCTGAGATTGCATATATTCGATATTTGATTATCATAAAGATAAAGTACTGTCAGGTTCCTACACACTGAAAGGTCTCCCTGTTGACATAAACAAACACATTAAAAAGTAAAACACTAATATAATTCCATTTGACTTACTAGGTCCTCGATGTTCTTGTTTGAAAAGTGAAGATGGGTCAGTGTTTTGAGGTATTCTGGGAAGGAGAGTCCCCTTTTCTTTTGGAAGTGACAGTGTGATTTGGCGATCAGATCTACAGTCAAACGCACCATAATGTCTTCTTACTGTATTACCCTAGGGTAGACCCAAATAACTGGATTATGAGAGTTTTCTTGACAGCGTTACGTCAATACAAGGTTACCAAAGACAAGACACCTATAAATAAGGAATGAACTAGGTTAGCTGTGAGGTTGTGTGAACATTTAGGCAGCACTTATCTATCAGAGCATTTCATTTAGCAAATGTTAGTTACTCCCTAAGGTTATCATGTCATACTCATCGTCATTGGTCATTTCTAGTATTAGCTTCAATGCTGTCATGCTAGCGTTAACTTATGGCTAACTTCGTCTCAAACCTTCGTCCAAGCACTCTGATGATCTTTTACGGCCAATACATGAACAGAACATTTTACTTTTGCAAAAAACAATACAATGATTACTTACCTCAATCAATCTATAGGTTATAACAGTATTTCTATGGTTACTAAGTTTTAAGTTCTGTTCTGTTGTTTAGGACCGTCACACTGTTTCCATAGCAACAAGCAGAACAAGCAGCAGGACATTTCAAATAAAATGTCTATCAAAACTACTTACATGTTTGCATAGGTCTTGTTAGTCCAATAGTGTTAATAATGTTAAAGGTAATTCAATACGGTTAAATGAAGTATGCACATTATTGCATTATGTTGCATGGTCAAATTTACCCTTTGGTTGACACCATGGATCCAAGCTAATATCTATCATACGATTGATATCATGGTTTTTCCTTAAGATTTGTGAAAAATCCAAATCATTTGAAGGCATGTTGGAGGCAAACCACATGACACCCAAAGTTTTCAGCCTAAAAAGCTATGTTTATGGCATACTGTATGGCTAGTGTCAGGATTCTATCATGTTTTTGACTCCAGTTTATATCGCAAAAGATCAAATGAAATTAATATTACAAAATGTGATGCCATTTCAGACCCATTCATTAAATACTGAAGAGTATTCTACTATCTTGGTTTCAATTGAGGTATTTACTTTGACTTCATCTAATGCACACGTGGAATTACTTTATTATTTTAGAGATCAAAATTGCTTTAAGTTGTTCTTGGCTTCCACCAATTTAATTCCATTTAAATTTGCATACATCTTATTCAACCAAGTCATGCATACAAATGTCCATCTGGAGATAATCAAAAATATTTATATGGCTGATGAGCACAGTATGTGTGTTGAAGAATTTCTTAATCACCTTATAAAAGGTGTATTGCATGAGATGAATACTCAATACCATGTGACTTAAGCACCAACTTTGACATTTTGATTTAATCCACCAGAGAAAGTTAGTACTAACTTTTAATGATTCATTGGCCTACAGTACATTTAAATGTGAAACTACAAACTTCCATTGACTAAAAGGTCAAATATAAAATCATTATTTGAAGTCATTCTCACAAGAATGAGCAGCTAATTCCCCAAGAGTATTTTCCTTTTACAGAATATGACAAATACAATATACATTTATTTTACAAAATCGTAAAGAGAACTGACACAAACTGGTGCCAGAGGAGCTGCCTATAAGGAAAAGCAGACGGGCCCAGTGTCTAAAGGACAAAGAGCAGACATGTTGTGTGAATGGACTCCAGTGTGTGTAGCTTCTGCACTGCGTCACTGCGACACCAGCTCATGACAAACACCACTGCGCTCAGCCGTGCTCCTCTGAGGTTGACTGTAAAGAGAGTTTGAGTTCATCATAGGTTTGTCCAGATGCAAAGACTTGTTCTTTGCCAAAATCTCCATGCACAATGGTTCAATTTGACATTAGACACACATCGTCAGAAATATTTTGCGCTGCATAACAATCAAAATGTTTATTATTTCAAAACCTGTATAAACAATTTCAGTAAATAAAAACAGATAATGTTTTGAGAAGGGGTTGGATGAAGCAGCTTATACAGTAAAAAACAAAAACAATTCAGTAACACATTTCTAGATATGTGTTACCCTTACCCTAATCCATTACTGAAGCTCTTTTCGACCAAACAATCAATCTGATTGGACAACGGATTATATGCACGTTAACATTTGTATTTCAATGTTTCTGGTAGCAACAGAATAAAAACGAGAACAATGGATGCAATAGTTGTTTATTGTGGTAAAGTGTAAACGATACATATCCAGGTAAAAACTGCTGAACGGTTTGAACTTAGTTGGATGTGTTGATCTGATTGAAAAGCTTGTCCTTTATGACTTGAGACATGAGGCCATGGATTGCCTCTATGGTCGTCTTGCAGCTAAAACAGATAGAACGTTGTTTATTGTTGTTGTTTGTTGTTTAAGTTTTTGCAAATCCGTCAGTGTAAAACTTTACCTATCTCGCGTAGCTTTGGCCAGTTTGTCCTCAGATTTTCTGTCATGCGTGTCCAGGCCGAGCATGAAGCTGCCTCTACCTAGCTGAGCCTCAGACTGTTCCAGTTTCTCTGACAGGTCAAACACCTGGCCAGTTGTGTAGTCGGAGTTCTGACCAAACAACACAAACAAATCAATGCATGGACAATTTCCTGACAAAAGGTAAAGAACATTATTAACAAAGAGCTTGGATTTTGACAATATAATCCACAAGACAAGCTGTTAAAAGACCAAGTTTTCATTACAATGAAAAGAATCCAGAAGAAAAGTTTGCCTAAGGTGAGTCCATGTTTTAGTGGAAAAGGTAATTAAGACACAATGACATAGGGGCCCCATGGCAGAGTGACAGTGTAACAACTGACAAAGGCTGTCACCCAAGCAGCCGCACTCCCCTGACACGTAGTCAATTCATCTTCCTCCCAAATGCCAGAGAGCAAACTGTTTGGATAAGCTTGATGCCTATTTAGACTGTTTAGTGAAACTCGGGGCAAAGTGGCTCAGGGAATTCACACGAGGTGCTTTCAACCTTTAAAACGAACCGAAGGGGTTGAGGAGAGGATACAGAGAAAAACATGGCAGTATCAGTACCCCTGAAAGTTTACTTCTCGTTGCTTTACAATTAGGCATAATACTTGTATCAATAAACAGGCTTTTCCTGCTAATATGCAGCAATAAATCACAACATCTCATGCTGGTGACCACATGTCTCAATGACTTATTATGTAATAATTAACCATAAATCACAATGTCAAACAATTAGGGAGCAATTCTGAATTTTGAACTTTTCCATACCGTAAGAAGACTTGAAGAGCTTAAGGTATTGACCCAGTATTTATTCCAAAGCAATTCCAACAACTTTCTATCAAGGGAGGATTTAAAGTAAGTTACCTCCAAGGCATAATACCTAAAAAAGAAATGCAAGTTAACACACAATACAATATGACATATAGATATGCAATTAATTTAATTTAAATACTAACTGTTTACAGTGTACACCAAAGTCCTCAATTTTGTTCAGGGGAATGGTTTGATATTCAGAGGGCCCCTCATCGGGAGGTTTATAACCCTAATAGCACAAAAAAACATAATTAAAAAGAAGATTTGTTGGTTATATAACATCAAAGTCGGTTGTACCTTTGGGTAGGTTCTGAATGCACCAAGGTTGACTTTCCCTGCGGAAATAGTTCGAGTGGGATCGATCTGTAGAAACACAAGATACAATAGAACAAGAAATCAAACCACTGAGGAATTTCCAATGTCGTACAGCAATGATATTAAATTTGGTCAAATACAACAATAAATTACTCAATTAAACACCATGCTGCATGGGTTATGAATAATTTTACAAAAGTATTGATTACCTATGAACCTTTGTTGTATTATGACTACAAACAAGATATTTAACGAAATCATGGAATATTTAGGATTTTTCATTTTCAACATTCCAACATTTGGCTTAATAGTTGTACATGTACAGAATACCCTATTTCTACAGATCATACAGAGTAGTCCCTTCCCTTAGATGTTTGGATGATACATACAAAATGTGACAATTATATTAAAATAAAATATGTACTATATTGCCAATTTTTAAATTATCTGCTCATGTTGTTGTATTGAGATTAACAGGAAAAACTGGATGTAGTTATACAAAATCTGAGTCTTACCACAACAGCCACAAAAGGCTCCTGGAACTGCTGGTTGAGCATCTGAGTGCTGACATCAATGCCTGAGAGCCAGCACCCATAGCCTGGGTGACTGTGATACCAGCCGATAGCATTCTCCAATCGGCCAACCTATGCAACAGACACTTGTTTAATATAACTTTAATCAAGTAATCATATGATCTTTGTCAATGGATCCATAATAATAAAGCATATTAAATTAAACATAGTGTGCAATATCAATGTGTGTTGATTGATGTACCTGTTTGGCATTCTCGATGTAGGCTGCCATGTACTCGTATGCAGCGGCCTGTGCATTCACTCTGGTCTCTGTGCCCTCCACAGGTAATGCAAAACTGTCCATTATGATCATGGTTTCTCCATCGACCTTTCCCAACATCAGTCCCATCACCTCCAGGTTTCCCCCAGAACGCGCGTGCATGACCATCTTCAAAAGGGCCAATGCTGAGACCTTGCAGTATTTGAAATAGTGGTGGCTGGATATCAAAGTGATTAGAATATATATACATATATAAATAGAAAATAATGACGACAAAGCCCCAGGTTTGGGAAATGTAAAATATGTATAATGAAGTCAACTAAAGCAATACAAAAATTCATTAAAAACCCATTATATTATATGAAGAAGGTGAGCGTAAATATAACACAAAACACAAGCTGAGAAAATAATTTGAGTAGATGTCTAAATTAGGGAACAAACATGGGCCTATAATAACAATAACAATAACAACTATGCTATATAACTAACGCTAGCATTGTAATTTACGATACTTTGAGTTTGGTTAGCTAACGCTAGCAGACTGACTTCAGCGGATTTCCAAAAATACTGTCTCATCTAGGGTGGCAATATCAATACACGTGTAGCAAATGATTACATTAGAAATCTGCATTTTACGTGTGTAGACACTCACTCCTTTGTCCATGGCTTGGCTGCAAGGATTTCTTGTTGCTGTTTTTTGTCGTATTTGTAAATTTCATCGATACTTTGAACTTCCTGCATGCTATTTGATAGCTCCCAGGTTTTCTGTGCGGTGCTGCTCCCTGCCATTCCGAATCAGAATCCCCAAAGGTGGCAAATGCCTGGTAAAAATAAAAGTATGTACAATATTGTTGATGTTGAAGTATACTTGGCAGCCGTAATCGTTCACAATCTTAGACGACCGCTGCCATGACACTGAACGATACCACCTCCACATTGGGGGGGGGGGCGTTTTCTGTATTACGTTCGTGTTCTGTACTTATTAACTGCAACACATACACAAAGAATAACATCAATAGATAAAAATAAGGCTTTATTACATTGTTTATGTTGTGATTTTGCGATTTTACCTCCCCACATCTGATCTAATATTTTGTGATTTACCTCCCTCCTCTGATCTAATATTGGTTTAGACCGTTCTTTCATGTGTGAATCAATCTGGGGGCACACTGCCACCTAGTGTCAAATATATAGCACATCATATAGATGACTATTCAACGGAAGTATATTCCAATGTATTGATTCCGCTCTGAGAACGAGTGAGAGCAAATTTACTAGCACGTTATTGCCGAAAACGCAGACACTAGCAAGCTAGCTCACTTTTCAAGTTTTGTTCGTAGGGACCACGAGGGCGACTTCTTTATGGTTGCTATAGCAACAGTAAGATGCTTTGCTCATTGATTGTTAGCAACATGAGCAACTTACACAAGTGACTTTCTCTGTATGGGGTTTGCATTATTATTTTGAAACTTCGACAGCTGAATTGTTTTGATACACATTTAATTGTAACAAAAAAATCCTTTTTCTGCATGTTCGTGAGGTAGGTCATGGCTGCATTGTTGTCATCTAACATTGATCGCTGGAAAGTAACGAGACAACAAATGGCCTAAATTAATATTCCTCGCTCAAGATATGATTTTCAAACAATGTCTAATAACCAAAGAGGTAATTAACAAAACCTTTTTGATCGTCGTCCTATCAGCTTATTGCCTTGTATTTAACATGTAACAGGATTGCATTTTTTGCTCGGAACGGAATATGAAAGAAAAAAACAAACGCTTCAAGAGGAGCTACAGATGGATTACAAACGTTACATTAACCAGGTGATAACAACGCTTACCCGACAACCCTTGAGGCATATAATCAAATAATTGTCTGTACTGTATACAGAAAAGAGGCCTAAAAGCTGAAGATTATGACAGATCACAAGCCCAAGGTCTGTCTTTGCCCATTACCGAGAGGACTTCACTGAAGGTGAGTATTTAAAATTTCTCCAAATTAGTAATATCCATCCATTTTCTACCCCTTAATCCATTTCTGGGTCGGGGGGTGGCAATCAGATATGCCACTCAAGTCACATAGCACCAGCCCATCACTGATTCTCCTGCAGGTGGTGAGTCTACAGGAGGATGTCTGCTTTATAAGTGTGAGCATTTAGCCTTGATCTTTCAGTGGGGGCTTCGGGCAAGGTTGGGTTAAGTGTCTTGCCCAAGGACACAACGACAGCAGTGGGAGTTGGTGGAGAAGTTGTCGAGGTGGGATCTAACCTCCAGGCCCAAAGGCCAATGCTCTACCAACTGAGCTACTGTCGCCCCACATTAGTAATACTTCCCCTTAAATCTTGGAAATTGTTGTGTAATTTACCATAGAGTCAGATAGACCCTTTAGGAACCCTTAAGGAGTTTCAAGCAATTTCCTAAATGCTACTTTTGATTCCCCTGCTTTAATTTCTTTACCTTTTTTAATCCCTCTATAGAGAGCAAGTGGACAATGTGTGACTCTTTTACAGGAAAAATTGAGAGAAGAGAGAAGTCGAGAATACAACCTTTTTCTTCAGGAACGAGCTAAAACTTCAAGGCGGGGACAGTTCTCTGTGGCCTCTAAAGTAAAACAAAAATATAGTGTTTGTGTGTTTTGTTTTGAACACATAATTCTCATGTCATTACTATTTTTAGCCTGAGGAACCCTCGAGTTTGGACAAAATGCACATACACCAAGTGCATATTCCTGGAGAAAGCTATTGGCCTGCAGAGCCTTCACCTCCTCGCAAAGATGTTGCCACGCTTACAGACATTGTTCGAAGTATGAAGGGCAGGAAAAGATGGGACGTGAGCCATCAGAGGCAAAGAGATATCCTTTTAAAACCAGAGGATTACAGCAGCTCTGAGGAGAGCAAGGACAGTGGCGAGAAGATTGAGTTCAGTCACAGGAGGAAACCAAATGGACAGATCCAGAAGTCCAAGTACATAAAAAAGGACAAAGATGGCAGAGCTAAAAGGTGTTGTCTGGCAAATAACCATTCATCATTTGCTTTATTTTATAAATTGTCAATCATCATTGATGTGTGACAGGGTTCCCGCTGATGTGAAGTATGATGAGGACGTCTTTATTGATAAAAACAACAATGACCAGAATTCACCGTAAGACTTTATTAACTACAGTATGAGTAACTATTATGCATATATTTAATCTTTAACATGTTGCACACTTCTGTCTTTTGCACAATCTGAGTGATTCTAGCCATGCCAAATGTGGCATGTACATTTCTCCAGTTTGAGATCAATAAAGTCTATCTTATTTTATCTTATATTACATTTTCTGTCTGAGTATTGAGTTCATCATAAAATTTAGCACATCTTAAGGCAAGTTCCACTAGTTTATTAGTTCTAAAGAAATCAGATCATCCGAATCTAGAATCATACATTTAGGAGGTAATGACGGCTTTACTGTGTTGTTGACTTACATTTGTTTTAGAGCTCTTCACAAATACGACAAAGGGGTTCTGGCAAAAAGTAATATTCCAATTACTACCACTAAAGTGTTTGCAACAGGACTGTTGATTGGTAACTTAAGTTGCAGTATATGCATATCCACGTCTGTATTTGTGATCAATTACAAGTTTATACATTCTTATGTTTCTTGTTGTATAGGACGTTCAGAAGAACAAGATACCTTGCAGAAAAAGAAAGAACAATATAAGCGAGAATTACTCATCCAAATGGCTGAGCAACGTGAAAACAAACGAATGTGAGTTGTTCCTTTTTCATTCATCAACATTGTTTTAATGGTGGAAATTTGTTTTTTCTTATCATATTTGTGTAGAGAGAAAGTTCTTGAACTACAGGTTTCTGCCACTGGAGTCACTGTCCCACACAGAGTATGGAAATCTATTCTGGAATTGCAATCAATACATTAAATAACGTTGCCACTCTCCCTTCCATTAGAGCGACACATTCAGACAGTTTGGTTCTGAATATCCCACATATGAGAAGCAGAGGCACAGAGCCTTCTCTAAACCCGAAACTGGTCCCATCATGCCAAAAGATAATCCTGAACAAAAGCATGCTCAAGATTCACCCCTGAGAATGGAACAGAGAGAGCCACGACCTAATAGAACCTTCCGCTTTCCGACGCCAAACAGCCAAACGCCCCCTGTCACTGACACCACAGTCGACGAATACAACAAGCACTTCTCACATATGATTGGAGACGTAACCACTAACATGTTGGTTTGGATTTGCCTTTAGATCAACCTTTTTTCTTCGTGAATTCGATCTTGATGATTCTTTGTTCCATGCTTTCTCCAGGGTTTCTTCAGTTCCTCCACCATTTCCTCCCAGAGTAGAGCAAACCTACAGGACTCGACATGATGAGGTCTATGACTACTATGGCAGCAGACATCCTTTAGAGCCCATTATTTCTTACAATCAAAGCAGTACGCCATGTAAGTACATCCTTAACGCTTTATGTTGGTAGCTGTTATGTGTGTTTAGTATTATCCAGTTGTTTTTATTTACTTTATTAGATCAATCAAAAGGAAAACAGGAGAATACACAAAGCACTCTTCCTCAGCAAAGGCCCCAACAGCCCAGTCAGTCAGTGTCTATAATTTACCATCTTAATTTTAAATGTTTCCTGTTCTCCAGAAGAGGGCTCCATTCACCAGTATTTCTTCATACACCTGATCCTTCTCTTCATAATCTTAAATTTGTCTTTATCCAGACTTGATTTTGGACAGAGAAACACAAAGGTCCCTCTCCGAGATCCATCGTGTGAAAGTGATAGACAGAGAAGAGAAAGCTATCAGGAAGCTCTCAAGCAGCAGGTACATCTCTACTACCTTTGACCACATTAAACTGAAACACATTGTATTTCATAATTTAAAGTGCATCATATAAGGACAAGTGTTGTTTGTGTCCAGGTAAAAGACAAAGCAGAGCGAAGAAGCAGAGAAAGGGAGGAACGGCAGCTCTCCAATGCCCAAATGGTGTCGGAGATGATGTCCTATAACCCCTGGGGCAGAGCGGGAGGAGGAGCGCCCCTTAGAGACCAAACTGGAAACCTTATTAGTAAGCTGGCCTTGATCCTTGCTTCAATTAGCCCACAAAGTGCAATATGTCGTTATTAATCCTGTCTCAAGTCCTGACTATAGAACCAGGGAGTGGTTCTGTGGCTCAGAGAATAGATTTTAAATCAGCTCTGGTTGTTTACAAGTCTCTCCATGGCCTCACACCGGAGTACATCTGAGACATGTTAGTGCCATCTGATCCAACTCGGACTCTGAGGCCTCGAAGTGAGACCTAAATATGTGGAGGCTGCATTTCAGATTCATGCTGCTAAAACGTGGAACAGTTTTCCTGACAATGTGAGACAGGCTTCTTCTCTGACAAGGTTCAAATCCAGGTTAAAACAGTTCAGTTTAGCTGTGTATACACCTGAGGGATTTTAGCTTAACTCTTTTTAATGCACTGTGATTATTTATGATTTTAATGCCTGGTGTGACTGTCTCTATCTTGTTTTGTTCAGCATTTTGAATTGCCTTGTGTATGAATCGTGCTATACAATTACACTTGCCTTGTTTATTATAGCTGACCTGGACCAGATGCACAAACTCAATGAGGAGAGCTTTAGGAACAGCAACCTGAAAAAAAGCAGTGAGTCAACTCTTCAACACAAGCGTGTGCCTCCGCTCTCTAGACTGGAACAATTAGGTAATTACGTGTTTTTGTGTTCATGAGTGAGGAATTGTTCATTATCTAATTCTACGTCCTTACAGGTGACAGGGAACGAGACAATTTACAACGAAAAATCAGTTACCAAGAGTCCTTAAAACAGCAGGTAACATTGACGTACAAATCCATTAAAAGTGTCAACCAGAAATACATTTTCCTGATGCTGTTTAGATTGAGGAAAACAGACAAAAGCAGGCTGAGGAGAGAGAACGACAAAAAGTGATGGAGGAGAAGGAGGAGAAAAGGCTGGCAAAGGAAAGGGCTCGAATGCTGAAGGACTACGAGGAGGAGGAGCAGAGGAACAGGACCAAGATGCATGTAATTTATAACAAGTAATCAACTTAACTGCACTACAGAGAGAAACACATTATGATCTGTAGCTACTAAAGATCTGTACAGAAGCCAAAGCCCATCAGATTTCTTAATGGATATATTATTAATACATGATTTATTCCTAAAGTTGGGGTCCCTAACTTTCAAACACAACACATTTAACTATCTAACACAATGCATTAGCGACACAATTCGTCACTTGTGCCTCGCTCTCAGAACAGTTTGGGTTTCACCTGCGTGTATATACATCATCTAGACTATTTCAGTTGGTACAAGTATTATTTGTAAAGAATAAAAGTTAGATACCTCAGCTTTAAGGAAATTGAAAGTCTCCCACAGCAACACACTTACGAAACACAGCGCATGTGAATTAAACGTTTACAGTTGAACTTCTTGCACTCTTTATAAGGGGAGGAGCATAACCTATAAACCTGACATGGGCAATACGGAGGACAGAACCCCGGCAAAGGAGAGACCCCACGATCAGCAATGGAACGATTCAACAAAGCAGGTAAAGCAGTTTCAAACCAGCAATACAGTACATTTAACAAATAAAACCTTGGTATTGTAACTTTGTAGATAGAGGAAAAGAATAAAAAGCAGAAAGAGGAGAGAAAACGGTGGGAGACGGCTGAAAGAGGGCTGTCAGAGTGCAATCAGGAGAACAAGCAAAAGGTAAACATATATATATAGATAATATTATACAAGATATTATGGATATTATAACAGTACAATTCTGAATGCACCCATACCGGTCCATAGGACAAACTGAATGAAGAGAGAAAAATCCTGGGGAGTAGTGGACCCTCACCCACTATTCCAACCGTTTATGACTCCAACACGCATGTCCGAAGTCCTGCCTCTGACATGAACCAGCTTTCCTTCAAGAATGTGAGTCTCTAGATGTTAGATCATGAAATTAGATACAAGAATACACAAAATAACAGAAGTGTTCGTATTTTATTTTATTTTTTTAGATGGAGGACCTAGAGACAGCACCAGAGAAGCATTCAGAACTGCCCCCTGAATGGTCTCAGCCGCTGCCAGGTCAGAGAAGCATGCTCTGCTCTAATATAGCATTATACAGACACCATTGTATTGACTCTACAGTTGTGTGTAACGGTGCATCCTACAAAAAATAAGCTTTAAAAAGGCCAAAGATAGCTTATTTTCTTAGGGGACAAATTTAAACTAAACAAAAATGTTATCCTTGTTCTGTTTTCAATTGTCAAAATCTGCTTTTAAGGCAATAGTTAAATGTTATAATATAAAGTAGAAAAATGGCATTTTGAAACATCTGAAAAATCCGTTTGTATTCCAGTTCAAACTTCTAAAAAACCTTCTGCTTTTTTCCGCTCGTTTCTCCAGGCGACCAACAAGAGGTAATCACGGAATTAGGAGCTCTTCGCCGAATCCTTGAAACTAAGAAGAAAAATCTTGAATCAAAACTGAAGCAAGTTGAGGCTGTGCACAAACACTACCCTCCTCTCTCCAGGTAATATCAAGGCATTGGCTTCTTTTGGGGGTTTGAGGGGCTCCACCATTTGTTTATTTCATGTTTTTAAAGATTGTTCTGATGGGAGTCCATTACCAGCTTGTTGCCATAGATACGCATGCTATTTCTTTGCTTGGAATGTCACACAAACTCGTACATTCTTTTACTAAAACGTAACTCTTGCTGTGAGACGACTCGCCTCTCCACAGATGTAAATGGAAAGTTTAGCGCCAATTTGGAGAAAGTTACATTTAGATGAACCCAAGCAAAACCCAGACCCTCTATCAGACAGTTGTGGAATACACCTTTAATTTTTGTCAAAACCCCAGAGCTGAAAGGCTGTTCCTCTGCCCATTATGACTCAAAGACGTTATGCTAAATCAATGTTACTGTCCATGCAGGGCTCTGAGCTAATGAAAATGACCCAGGTCCTGCTGTCCGTCCTATCTGATGGTTTCACGGACACGGTATTGCATTATTATAACAGAGCATTCCCTCAAGGCGCTGATCTCATTTTATAGCCTTATCTCTGCTAATAGGTGGAGTTTGTTATAGAGCGGAGGGACACGATAGTGGGGCATGTGGGCTGCTCTCTCACCTCCTCACTCACTGCTGCTTTGACAGGTTCATGTTGGATTGAGAAAGTGGATTCATTCATTGTGATTTTTTTTAAATTAATTCTGCTGCAAATTATGGCGGTACAAAATAAAGCAGAGTAGCCACAATGTTTGTTTTCAGCAGATACAGATAGAATATATCAAATACTGCATAATGACTCACACATTTAGTATGACACATGCTGCAACGTTTATGTAAAGAGTCGAGTTGATATTTGTCATCCTTCCATCCGTTAATTTGCTCATTCAATTAACTGCATCGTCTATCACACAACACTGAGTTGTTCTGTCCAATCTGAGTTATTTTTGCACCTAAAGCTTCTCCTAAATTTATCCAGGCACCAAAGACAAGGCAGAGAGGATTCTGCTGCACACAGAGAAAATGTCCAGCTTACAACAGAAAGACTTCGATCCTCTCAAGAAAACACTAAAAACCTCCATGAGTTCCATGGCCGTAGATACAAAGGTAAGATGTAGAAGTACATTAGAATCTGAGCCTGTTCATATCTGTATCATACACTGTTGTTTTCACTATGATTATGATGAATACTGTTGCCAACCTACAGTATTGAAACTTTAATAACATGAAGTCACAGGAGTCGTCCATCAGCAACAGAGAGTTCGGCGCTGTAAACCAATTGTAATGCGTACACCAAGGAAATGGCTTTGGATGTGTTCCCAGACTGACTAAATGCAGGGTGTGGGGGAAAACACAGCTTGTAAAACCACAGTAACGACAAGAAGTTTGGGTGGAAATGTTGAAATCTGTAATCAAGCTTCATAAACCCAGTGAGAGCTAAGATAAGATTAACCTTATTGCTAATTCCCCGGTAGTTGAAATGGGAGAGATGATGGGAAAGGTTTGAAGTGTGATGATTATATGCATGAGGTCTATCATTTTACAACACAGACCAAAGGCTTTCTAAAGAATTATGTTTTTTGAGCACCTCAGGAGTTTACATTTCTTTGTATTTCATAAATTCCTATAATTTCAATGGTCACTATCAGCCAATCGCAAAAACTGAAATTATCTAAATCTATTCCAACACTGTAGAACACTAGTCTGCCATGAAAAAAAAAAGAGTGAATGAAACTTTAACGGCTAAATAGACACCATTATTGTACATTATGAAAATTACTATTTACCAAATATGTACCATTTAGATTTGAGTTGAGAGATTTGATAGAACAGCATTTCTTCTCACAAGTCCAGTCTTCTCTCAAAAGTGCAATATGAACCCAATTATTAAATCACAAACTGTAAATCTATCACAAGTTTAGATGAATCAAATGGCCATCAGGCGATTGATAAGGGATCTGTTCATCCTCATCTCTCCAAACTCCTCACCCTTCTCTCACCCCTCGCTCTTATTTTCTGTTCAATAGTTGCAGCCTCCTTTGTTTGTTTTGTGGGGAGAGGACTTAGTGACCCATAAAGAGGGATCTGCAAACGGCTCTCGCCACAGCTTAAAAGCCCATTTTATAAAATTATTATGAATGTCTTTCATTACTCAAATACATCACACAAAAACACATGTTTGCCTCGGGTCATTATAAAAATGATTTTAATACTATCAGAAAAATAGATAACGCCGACATCTATTTGATGCTGATCCCTGCACAAAGGGTACATCAAACTAGCACTGCTGCCCGTTATATTTCTACATGAACCCGAGTCTATTTGCATCCACAGACACTTCATCCCGTGAGGAGCTCCTCCACAACCATCCAGAACCTCCCACTGATGAACTGAGCCTGGACCGGGCGCAGCAGCACAGACTGGAACTGATGAACAGGAGGCAGCGGCACTATGGTACTCATCAGTATATCTGTACCTTAGTCTTGAAAAATGCATGTTTAATGTTGCTTCCTTAATTGTCTCCAGACATTTTAGATAAACAAGCAGATTTACGGTCTAATGTGAGTAGGATTAAAATGTCTGAAGGAAAGGTGAGTGATGTCGTAAGCTAATCGCATGTTGTCGTTTATCTCAGAGGATTCCAACTCACGAGTCTGTTGAGCCATTGCCAGCTGCCAAAGTAGAACACGGTAAAACACTCTTCTTTCAAATTCACAGTAACTACTGCGTTGGGGATTTACAGTGAGACGTTTCCTTTTCTTCTTCAGACATTTACGATTGTGAAGAAGACTTGTCTCGTCACTATTTGGTGGAGTCCCAACAAAGATCTGCACATCGGCGAAGACGAGATGTATTTCACTAAGTTTAGCTTCATGTCGTGTGATCTTAGTCACTGCAGAACCCAATGTTTTTATGTCATTATATTTGTTCAGGAGAAGGCCGCTCCCGTCAATCCAATGGAGCACTTTGATCCCGGCTCCCCGCCTCGTTCCTCAGACACGATTGTGAAACAGAAGCTGAGCTGCAGAGGCCAGCTTCCATCAGGTGAGAAAGAGAACATTCAACAGATTCAAACTGAAGCATAAACGATATATTAACTCCAGAGCTGCAGTGGGAGGATGAAGAGGATGAAGAGGACCTCTTATCCAGGCGCTCCTCCCACTCAGCCCCAGAGACGCCGCTCTCTGTGGCCACGGAGCTGTGGCTGAGAACCACCTCAGAACCAGAGCCCAGGAGACCGGGCCGACGGCCACGGACGCTTCTCTGACAGGAACAGAGCACACTATCCACATTTAGCACTTTAGCCACAGCACTTTGTTTATCATTAAAACCCGTTCTCTTATTTTTTATATCATTTTAGAAAAGACATTATGACAAGTTTAAAATGTAAAGCAAGAAAATAGAGCATAAAATCTTTAAAATCAACCAAGTTCAAAAACTTTATTGACCTAGAACCTGATTAGAATGCCAGATGATGTATAGTACAGAAAGTTGTACATAATCTTTTGCCACATAGAAAACTTTACATTGCTGTATCATATACATTTTGTTTTCTACATCCATGAGCAGGAATGCATCCCAGTCATACTTAAAGCACAGCTGACTAATCCTCTCTATACATCTTTCCCCCAAACCAAAAGGAAGAAAACATTAAATATATTATTCACTTTTGATTTTGTACAATAGAGTGAAAACTAAAGTCAAACATGAAAACCTAAAGGTGATTGAAAAGCAGCTAGCGTCAGACCTCCTTAAACATCTTCCAGTTTCAGAAGCGTTGTGTTAAAAACCTAAGAACAAATATAAAATGGAATAATTTAACCCTTCACTTCCCATAATCATCTTCAGTTCTGTAAGAAATGGTGAGCTCAAATAAATTATCACAAAAATCTCAAAGTAAAATCTCCAGTGCATTCAAAAAGATCAAGTGCAGCAAATCCAGACAAACGATAAACAAAAATAAATGAAATCTAGTGTTAATATAAGTTTATATTACATTACAGCGGCAGATCTGTACAACTAGTTTCACTGAAATCGTCCGTTACCAATGTTAGCATCAGCCACGCCACAGTTCGTCCAGATTTTTGCCTGTAGCCGAAAACCACTCACTTGTTACACTTGTTAAGATAAAGTAAGAAGCACGCGTATTTTTTTGGATAATAGTTTTCCTTCAATTCAAAAAGAGGGACTACTGTTTTGTGGATCTGACATTTCCCCAGAGGCGGCGCTACACAGGATCCTTCAGAGAGAGGGTGCGTTTGGTGCAGGCGGGTGGGACTCAAGTGTGTTCAGTTGAAGACAGAGGTACGTGGTGTGTTATCCCCCCCCCTCCGGAGCGTCATTGGGCCTCCTCCCCGGCCTCTTCCCCCACCTCTGTGTCCGTGTCCTGGGAGGGGCGGGGGTCCGGCGAGGGCTCTGGCTCGGGCTCTGGCAGCTGCGCGATGTGGAAAACCAGGCCGATGCGCAGGTAGAACTTCCGCAGCACGGCCCGCAGCTCCGGGATCAGGTCCAGCTGCATGATCTCGCACAGGAGCGGGTAGTATCGGGAGGCGTGGGCTTTGAACTGGAGGTGGGGGGAGAGAGGAGAGGTCAAAAACAACAACTATTGATAGATTTCATTACATTAGAGTAGTGCGGTGCAAAAAATAGATGATAAAGCCTGATGCAAGAACATGTTTACTGTCTTTTTTTTCTCATTTCAAGCCAGAATTTTCTGTTTCTGATTGTCCCATTGGCAAATATTTTGTTAAGGCCAACATAATGTATAAAATCAGGATGAATTGTACCTCAATAAAGCAATAGTTCAGCTTATTTTTGAAGTGTGTATTCTTGGAACAGAACAATCAGAAGGACTAAACAGGTATAATCCATAGCACTTTAGAAGTATGAATAGAACTAAATGAGAAAAGTAAAAATACACTTGGATGTTCAGAATGTAGGGTTTTCTTAAAGACAGCCGTGGTTGAAAATCGTGTGGTCAATAATCCAGTTTTTGTCCAAATCGCTCGTGAATCTTTAAAAGGTTTTCATATCTTCTTTGAGTCAATGTCACTAACCCTTTCATCGCTGATTTTGAGCACTTTAGTGAGGAAGAGCAGCAGCAGGTTTGTCCAAGCCTCTCTGTGGCTCTCTGAAGTCAGAGCCAAGAAATACGCTACAGCCTCGCTACAAACACTGCAAAAGAACACACAATATTTTCATTTAACAAAGAAAAACAAAATACAGGATTATATTTTGAGCGTTCTGTGACGACCATTTGTTGTTGACTGTGCCACAAAGTAGTTTTCAGTCAAAGCACCAAAGTCTTTAGAAGAGCGGATCATTCCAGTCCAGGCAGCAGCCATCAACTCTTTAGTAATACATTACATTTGTGCAACCTTTTATAGATTAATTATTTATTACACATTTTTTAATCCTAAAAAACGTATGTACATTTTAGATAGACATCTACTTATATAAGTACTTTCTGCGTTAAGATAACATTGTAACCTTAATTTGTAAAATCATGATGTTGCCTTTAGTGCATGTGGAAAACGTGCCATCATTATCTGTGTGCACTCGATCTCTCCAGTTTATGGAATTATGAATATTCATTATTACGAGGCAATCTAATTGAATTGGACGCTTTTTCGTTATTGAAATTGACTTTATCAATTTCAATAACGAAAAAGAGAGCCGTGACAGTGAATTTGACAAATCATTGAAAAGCAAGTTTCTCTGGCAGCACAGACCCTACAATGAGTCCTAGACATAAGTATATAGTATATACTTATATATTTTATAAGTATATAGTAAAAGTATATACTAACATCTATCATGCACAGTGACATCACCACGGATCCTGTGTTGTGTGTGGGCAGACAGTGATTCTCAAACTGGGTTCTGGCGTGGTGTAAAACTGTATCGCTCTATAGATACATTCTTGTAATACCAATAAAGACACATTTCCTTTGAATAGAAAAAGGTAATCATTTTCTACGTAAAGTAAAAAGAGCTCAACACTTGAATAATGTTTGTTATTCGCTTCTGTTCAAACAAAAGCATTGATGGAAGGCTGCATGAAGGCTAAACACGGAATATATCCATTATGCTCCAATTACATCCTACACAGGTCTTCAACAACCATTATGCTTCTGAATGCTCTCATTTAGAACACACTTTCCAACGTCCACTCCAAAGGATTGTTCCAGTCGTCGACAAACATGTGGCTTTGTCAATGCAAACATCATCATTTATGGATGAGTGACAACACAGGCTTTAGGAGGATTAAGTAATGCAACTGAAAACAACTCTGGGTTTGTGCATGTGTGTGTGATGTGTGTTTGTGTGTGATGTGTGTTTGAGTGTGATGTGCATAAGTGTGTTGTGCGTACGGTTAAGGTGCCATTGTGCTGGTGTCTTACTTGAGCAGTCGCCTCTGCACTTCCTCCCAGGCCTCCTGCCGACTCTCATCTGTGTACATCCGGAAGAGGATCCGCAGGCCACATGCCAGGCTACTGGTCTCCTGCTTCAACAGGTTGGGCTTGGACTTCCCCTTGAAGCCTGTAAAGACAATCCCAGTGGTGTGCTGTCACTTAACTGTTATCACTGATCATTTGGAACAATCAGAGGAGTGCGATATGGTTTAATCTTGTGTTTAATCTTGTGTACTCCCCTGATAGAACATGCCCCAGTGTGAGCGGTTAAACTTAATTGTCTTTGGCTATAATTATGAATGTATAAAGGTAGGAGACATGGGTAAACAAAATATTTGGTATGTGATGGAGCAAATTACTGCTTAACACTGGATAACGTGTGTTATCCAGTGTTAAGCAGTAGTTTAACACTGGATCAAATTCGGGTCAAATTGAGGCACCACAGTGGTTTAAAAAATACCCTAAATAAAACAATGTTCGTTGAATTTTAATTTTTCACTAACATGACCAGTCCTGGGTTATTTAGGGTCTAAAAGGGTCTGCTTTTAATCACTGTGGCGGGTCATTTTGATCAAAGGGTAGCCTGAAAAACTTGATCTCCAAATTGTACAAATCAAGTCATATACATTTGATATTTCCCATTCCCAATACAAAATGAAATTCAATCTCAGTAATCTCACCAGCTTTCCAGAGTAGAGTCCTCTGCTCGTTGTTGGAGTTGAAGGCTTTGGCGAAGTGGTGCGACTCCAGGAGACAGTCGAGGAGCTTGAAGAGCTGCTGTGAGGTCAGGTAGCTGTACATGCCCTGGTCCTGAGTCTCCACCGGGACATCTGCTGCATGCAACACATCTCTCTGCAAACAACACAACACATGGACTCAGTAACAGACAAACTATTGGAATTAGTGAGTACAGTTTTCCTTTCTATGTATGACTGCACCTGAGCAGCAGCGAAGTTCTCTGCATCCTCCTTCTTACTAGTGGCGGGGAAGAAGACGATGTTGTCGATGGTCTGGATGAGCTCCAACTGCACCACGCACTTGATGAGCAGAGCCGTGAAGAGCCGCTGCTCCAGGGATTCTGCACCAAACACAAGAGTCAACACAGACACAGAGCTAGAGAGAAAGCCAGAGTGAAGTTTGGACTCACTGTTGGAGTTCCTGGTGTCTGCTGCGCCCGAACTGTACTGGCTTTGCCGACGGGTCTCCGTGGAAACGCGGTCAGCACTGCTGAGGGAGAGCTGGTCATCGGAGCGTGACTGCACATCCACAGACTTCTGGGAAACGGTGTCCTAAAAATCAGATGATCAAGTTACCGAACCAAAAAATTATGTGAAACTTGACATGTAATACTTTGATGTGACATGTTATGTTAAATTGTCTCATGCACTTTTAACATTAGACAGACATTTTCATTATTTGGCCCCATTTAAACAAAAATGAATAAAAGCCACCGATGTAATCAGAGTTATTCATGCATATTGAGGTATTTATATTTTCTTGTATAGATTTCCCTCCTTCATTTGTTATGATTTGGTGATATTACTGTGCATAAGGGCAGGTGTTACTTTTAAGAAATTGTTTTTTAACAGTATGTATTAATGCTGACCAAAGCACAATAGTCTTGTTCTGAGGTGAAGAGAGTGTGTGTTTTTTATCTCACCAGTTGTTTTTCAGACAGATTCAGTGCAGTGTAGGGCTCTCCCTCTGGCCTCCATGTTAACAATCTGAGCGCACAAACAAACAAATCTTAGATCTGCATGAAAACCATCACCACACATTTGTAAACAATCTGTTTCGGAGCCGCTTACGTGTGAGGGATGGTTGTCTTGAAGATGTCCAACATGCAGTTACA